TTTCCCTTCCAGTAATGTAACTGTATTTGTAACATGTTATATTTGGGATTACACTTTCTTTGTAAAGTACAGATTCTAGTACTTTTGTTGGGTTGAGTCCCGAATGTACTAGAATCTGTACGTTTGTAAATGATTAACTAAATACAAATTTATTCTTCTCTGTACATAGATACATAGAAACGAAACATTACATATGGATTAAGGATAAACATACTGTTGGGTAGGCAGTTAATACAGAGTGAGCGTTGGACAAAGAATAAACATACATTTGATACAGGATTGGACATGGAGTTGAATAAAGGATATAACAGTTGGATAAAGGATAAACATGCAACTAGATATCACTTGCTTGATAACGGTGTTAGAGCCTACACCGAAACGTCGCTCTCATAGCACTGTTATACTGCAAATATTTCACTAATATTTCACACACAAAAATATAATGACTATGATATGAAATGTATATGAATTCACAAAAGTACCTATGTTGTGATTTTCCGTACACAAACGAGAGTAACTCACTCAGGTTGTAAAATACATGCCGCTAGACATGGACATACTGTAGAAAATAGATAACGGTTTGCACTGCAGTTACCGGCTGCATGTCACTTCCTGATTGACACGCTGACCACGTAATGATAATCCCACAAGCAAGTCGGTGGTCAATCTGTCAAACTAAAGAAATTGTCCATATAGTGTTATCCTTCCTTACTTCCACAACTTCTAAATGCCTCTCAAAGAAGTTAACTGGATAAAGGATTACTCACAACTGATAAAGGATTTTACATGGCCTAGAATAAAGGATACAACAGTTGGATAAAGAATAATCATCCAACTGGATAAAGGATTACTTACAGCTGATAAAGGATTACTTACAGTTGATAAAGGATTACTTACAGCTGATAAAGGATTACTTACAGTTGATAAAGGACTAGAAGTGGAGTTGAATAGAGGATTACATGCAAATGATAAAGGATTAAACATGCAATTTGATGGCAAGATGCTGCGTCCCACAAGTATTCAAATTGAGAGTTGAATAGTAATTATGACCCTATAAAAAGGCATTTACTGTCCGATTTTAGCACTAATTAAATTCAGTTTCAAACAGGAAAAGTCCAAGCCATTTAGCTTCACATATAATGTACAAAATATCTACGTAAGTGTATAGCTGCCAAGTTAAAACGTGAGAGGGAAATAATCTTGTGAAATTACACTTAAACACAATTCCCCAGTACATACAAACTTTACACTAACCAATTCCCCTCCGATGTACCCACCGAACTAGAAATATAAGATCCCAGTGAGTATCACCGGTTTCATACATAGATCCATGCATGACGATTGCCACAGTGACAAGTGCCCCTCCCCACAAGACTTCGTGGCAGTGGGATAACATCTGTTTTCCACTTGTCAATTTACCTTTCAAAGGAAATAAATTCAAAGAGCGTCATACGACTTTTGCTAAGAAGTTGTTCGATCAAGGTTACACCATACATGACCTCAGTGAAACTTTCACAAGAATTAGTTGAAGACTTATGGAGGAATTTCAAATTTGACGTATCAGCGATTTCGATAGGATTGTACATTGCTTCGACAGTCTAGCCAAAGCTTAACTTGGAAATTCCAGACCAGTTTTCCAAAGGTGGAAACTAGACTTTTATAGTCAGTTAATTCTCTTATACCTATAATGGTTCAAGTGTTGTGGGACCGCCTCCGTGGTGTAGTGGTTAGAGCGTCCGCCCGGAGAGCAGAAGGTCGCGGGTTTGATCCCTGACCGCGTCATACCAAAAGACGTTAAAATATGGTACTTATTGGTCCCTGCCTGGCGCTCGGCATTAATGGGTACAACAAGGACTGGTCGGCTCGGAGTCAGTATAATGTGTCTGAGTGGGGTATTCATGCTTCACTGCGGCATGGTATCTCAGTGGGCTAGCACTATAAAACCAGCTTAAGTCTGGGCTAGTACAAGCAGCCGCACATACACATACACACGCATGCACGTCGTCATATGAGCGAAATATTCTCAAGCACGATGTTAAACCCACTTTCACCTCACCTCACCTCAAGTGTTGTGGACTATGTGATAGCTTCAGCAAAGCTATTTCCATACATAAGTGATTTTAAAGTTGAAGATGTTGATTACTCCAATCATTTCCCAATATCATGTTCATTAAACACTGGCTTCTACTCAACATGTGACTGTGAACCTAATAGTGATGGTGATACACAAACAGATACCAAACTACATACTAGTGCCGCTGTACATGAACAAACTTCACATGATTGGATAAAGTTTGTATGGGACCAGGATTCTTCGGACAATTTCATTAGTAACTTTAAAGATTTATTTGAAACTGAACATGGAACCCTGTGTGATAAGATAAATAACAATATTGACGCAGCAATATTAGCTATCACAAACATTTTCTATCAGTCTGCAGACTTTGCTAGGAAACTATATAAACCTAACACAAGGAAACATCAAACCCAGCCTCCATGGTGGGACCAAGAATTAGGAGAACTTAAATGTAAGAAATATGCTGCTCTTAGGGCTCACAGAGACTATGGCGTTGATTTTAATGTGTTCAAGTCGCTAAGATCATCGTTGAAATGCCTTTTTAAAGTGAAAAAGAGAATACTACGAAGACAAGCAACACAAACTGGTGGAAGCCAGGAAGGACCCTAAAATGTTTTGGCACTTACTAAAGTGTACTAGGAAAACACCTGTTATAAATGTTAATATTGACCCATGTGACTGGGTCAAACATTTTTCTTCCTTGTTGACTTGTGATCAAGACTTACAGTTATCTTCATGTGACACTCTAGGTGCGGCGGTGTGTAATAATATGTGTGATGATGACTTAAATGACGTCATAACTGAACGTGAGGTGAACTCCAATATGGACAAGCTGAAAAACAATAAATCTCCTGGGCCTGATGGCATAGCAGCTGAATTGATTAAATCATCAAAACTATATTCTGTTCAGCATCTTACATTACTTTTTAACCGAATATTTAATACAGGCTATTTCCCAGCTGTGTGGGCTACAAGTATCATATGCCCTCTGTTCAAGTCAGGACTAAGGCAAGACCCTAGTAATTATAGGGGTATTTCTTTAATAGATTCACTTTGTAAAGTGTTTACTTGCATTCTAACATCTAGGCTGCAGAAGTGGTGTGAGAGTGATAATACAATTTGTGAGTATCAGGCTGGATTTAGAGCTAATTATAGCACTGTTGACCATATTTTTTCATTGAATGTTGTTGTACAAAATTATGCTCATAAGAAAAGGGGAAGATTTTATTGTGTTTTTATAGATTTTGCAAAAGCATTTGATACAATGAATCATAAAGTTCTATTTGACTGTCTAAAGGATGTTGGAATAACTGGTAAATTTTATAATATCTTAGTGTCCATATATTCGAAATTGGTAGCCTGTGTTAGGACTTCAAATGGCCTCACTGATACTTTCAGGTGTAATCAAGGCACCCCTCAAGGCTGTATTTTGAGTCCCCAGTTATTCATTATTTTTATCAACAAGTTCTTTTCAGTTCTAGAAAGTTTTGGAGGAAAAGGTGTTAATATCAATATTAATGTTGATAATCTCTATGCATTAATGTTTGCTGATGATGTGTCAGGGGTTGCTGATACTGCACTACAGTTGCAGAAGAGGCTAAATGCACTAGAGTTATTTTGCAGGCATACTGGTATGAAGATTAATTTGGACAAAACAAAGATTATTGTGTTTCGAAACTCAGGATAGTTAAGGCATTATTAAAATTGGTTCTTCGAAGGTAAACAAATTGAGGTTGTGTCATTTTATAGGTATCTTGGCATAGTTTTTACTCCTAGGCTATCATGGACTAAGGCTCACCATTGACTGCTCTCTCGGGTTAATTAAGCACTTGTATCTATCTATTCCTTTCAAAGAAATTTTGGTAATCTGTCAGCTCAGGATCTCTTTAAGTTGTTTGATTCTGTCATTCTGCCTATTCTGTGTTATGGATCTGAGGTTTGGGGAACATCATATTGTAAAATTATTGAAGGTCTTCAGATTAAGATTTGCAGACAATATCTCAGAGTTGGCAGAAATGTAAGTAGTAGTATGGTTTTAGGGGAATGTGGCAGGCTTCCATTACAATTTAATTATATGTCTAGAGCGGTTAAATATTGGTGTAGGTTAATTCAGTTAGAATCACATCGACTCCCATTTCAGGGTTACAATATGTTGAAATCGCTTGATGATTCGGGTAGGACTACATGGGCTACAAATATAAAAAATATCTTATTTAAATTCGTTTTTGGGTTTGTATGGCTGTCACAGGATGTCGGTGATATGCAGCAGTTTAAACTTCGGCTTTCGGATAATCTCAAACAATCATGGTCTGCCACTGTTCATAACCTTTCAGATTCATTTGCCTACAAACACTTTAAATCATTACTGCATGTAGAAAGCTACCTATCATTATCTATACCTCCCTATCTAAAATCTCTCCTAGCAAAGTTCAGGTGTAGCAATTTTGGGTTAGGTATAGAGGTAGGAAGATATGATGACATACCAATGGCTGACAGAGTCTGTTTTTACTGTCTTCATGCTGCAATATTGCTAAAAGCGGCGTAAAACCAAACTCAGTCAGTCCGTCAGTCGGTTTGGACTGAATATTGGGGGATTTCCAGAGGTGGGCAGATGTTTATGACTGAACGAGAACAGTGCTGACGAGCAAAGGGTCATTATCGGGCTAATAAGCTAAACCTTACAATCACCTGCTAATCCGCTAAACCTTTCAACATGCAACCAGGAGAAACATGAATGTGTATTTACTGTGTTCCATGCTGATTGTCTGGTATATTACCACAACACCTGTTCAACTTGCAACCTGTTGAAACGTGACAATCTATATGTAGTGAAACATGCAGCCAGCACAAGCGGTGTAATCTGAACACACCAGGACAACCTGCTCTAGGGCGTCGTCCGACCTGTTATCGAAGTGTGCGGGAGATGTTATATATACACAAAGAACTTAGTTTAGCACCACCTGACATATCTCACAATGAAATGAGCCCCGATCTTAACCCTTTGCAGCATATCTGGGACATGATTGGACGTCGTGTGCAACAAAGATTCTCCTGTACAGAACCTGGTCCAGTTGGAAGCTGTTTTACACGAGGAATGGCGTATAGTGCCCATTCAGAGGATCAGGAGGCAGATAGGGGGTATGAGGAGGAGAGTGCTAGCTGTCATACAGTCACATGGAGGTTACACTCGGTATTGACCTTGAATCGTGTAAGACACGCAAAATGACATTTTGAATGACCACATTCACCAATAAATTCAACATTAAACATTCCAGGGCCATACTTGTACAGACGTGGTTTTGTATGAAAGTCAGTGTTTGTTTTTGTTAAGATGAGCGATTATCTTAATAAAATCAATATGGACTCCAATCATTTTGTCGTTTTTTTATGAGTCAAGGGATCATACGGGTAAAAAAACCCACCATGGTGACCACGAGAAGTCTTATGTACGTGTTGAAAACGTATCATTGCAAAAATACAGGGGGTGCTTAATTAGCTCTTTGTGTATGTATATACACCACTGGGTCCACAATGTCATAACAAAGATCTTTCAATACTGACGTGCAAAAATGACTGGGAAGTTTCTTTTGACCGTCAGTGTATATGATCTGCAAATTATTGTCAAGTGACAGCGGTTCACGTGACTGGATGGTACTGAAAGTGGGTGAGTGAGTATGGTTTTACGCCGCTTTTAGAAACATTCCAGCGACATCACGACGGAGGTCACCAGAAATGGGCTTCACACATTGTACCCATGTGGGGAATCGAACCCGGGTCTTCGGCGTTATGAGCAAACGCTTTAACCACTAGGCTACCCCGCCGCCCCGGATGGTGCTGAAAAGACATAATGCATCAATGTAGTGGAATGTCGTTCATCCAGACGGTACCAAGAGATACAGTCCTGGTAAACCAATTTACGGGTTAAATGTCGTTTTTTTTAATTGAACTGTCCCTTTTAGTGCATGTAGTATTTTCAACGATTTCTTTCGAAGGTGGAAGTTTCGGTCTGTACACAGTGAGAGAGTCTCCAGATGTGTCGTAAAATGACCAAAACATTTTCTTCAATAATTGATCAGTCTAGCTAATCGATTACTGGAGCAAATATCAGGTATATCTTTGCGTTAGGACACAAGGTGAGCAGTGGAAATAGCAAAGAACTCTGTTGTTACTTTCCAACAACAACAGAAACGACAACGACGATAAAAAAGGACGACGATCAACAGAAACGACGACGACGATAACAACAAACAACAACGACGACAATCGACAGAAACGACGATGATGATAACAACAGCAGAAACGATAACGACATTAACAGCAAATATTAATAACTTAACACTAGAAAAGGGCAACATATTCTAGCTCTCGGGGACGTACACGTTTGTGACGTTATAGAGAGAAATCTGGAAAATGGGTACACCTTAACCGGTCCGGGTGCAATGGATGTAAATCGCAAGGTACATCAGGTAGAGACGGTCGCATACAGGGTGCAAAGGGTCGCACAGAGGGTACATCGGGTGCACAGGTTTGCACAGAGGGTACATCGGATGCACAGGTTTGAACAGAGGGTACATCAGCCCACACGGGGTACATCGGGTGCACAGGTTTGCACAGAGGGTACATCGGATGCACAGGTTTGCACAGAGGGTACATCAGCCCACACGGGGTACATCGGGTGCACAGGTTTGCACAGAGGGTACATCGAGTGCACAGGTTTGCACAGAGGGTACATCAGCCCACACGGGGCACATCGGGTGCACAGGTTTGCACAGAGGGTACATCGGCCCACGCGGGGTACATCGGGTACACAAGCCCCCACACAGGGTACATTGGGTATTAAGGCTCGTACATAGGGTACATCGGGTACACAAACCCCAAACAGGGTACATCGGGTAAACAGGCACGTACATCGGGTACATCGGGTAAAAGGCCACCACACGGGGTACATCGGATGCACGGGCCTGTACACCGGGTACACGTTTAATGATACTGAGTTTATTATCGTGTTTCCGTATAGCCATGACAACAATGACTGTGTTATGAGAGTCATTGTCGAGTCTTTGCAAAGTGACCTTTTAATTGTGTGACACTCGTGAGACGGAAGCAAACTAGGGTCCTATTCTCATCAGAGGATGTCGTTGTTTTAAATATTTCTTAAATACGTAGTTTCACCAGTGTTCTATTTTATGTTCATTTGTTTTCAAATGGTAGCTTGTCCGGAAAGAGCTTAAAAGACATCATTATGCTTCATTTGTTGAAAAAAAACCGTCAGACACAAAAAAACACATTGTTGCACTGTGTTTCTTTATACAAAAAACCCCTTCGGCTCATATAGTCTAGTATGGCAGCTGCATGTGAATAAAATATCTAATCTCCTTACAAAATCCTCATACTTCCCGAATATCCCATGGTTACTCATTCAGCATGGGTATTTTTGCAAGTTGGTCAATTATGACAGTGTTGTGCGATGTAATCTACTTACCCATCTATATTTGGGTACTAGGACCGTTAGACAATAGGCATGAACTTGTGATATTGCATCGATGTAAGAAGCTCATGACAAGCAGTTTCGTGTAAAGTCACCTCGTTTGCATATATTACAGTATATTAGGTTCTATCGGATTGGGGCGGTGGGGTAGCCTAGTGGTTAACGCGTTGGCTCGTCACGCCGAAGACCCGGGTTCGAATCCCCACATGGGTATAATGTGTGAAGCCCATTTCTGGTGTCCCCCGCCGTGATGTTGCTGGAATATTGCTAAAAGCCGCAGGCAGTCAGTCTATCGGATTGCTATATATATATATATACTCGATAACACTGTCGGGTTGACGTGACCTTTGTGATATGCCCCAGGAACATACATCAGGTTACTATCAACAAATCAGCAAGAGTGAGTGAGTGAGTCCGTGAGTGAGTGAGTGAGTGAGTCCGTGAGAGAGGTTTACGATACCAAAATAATTTTGTTTAGCTTTCGTTCTGAAATACATGTGGTCAGAAAAACATATGTCATTGTGCTGGACACAGTATCGTGTCGTATTGACGAGTAATATGGTGAGTAACACAACCATGCCTTGGTGTGTAATTCCATATATTTTTCAAATATGTGAGTAATAATTATACATTGACTAAATAAAGTGTACAATGTTGTGCTACATATATATGTAACAGTTAATAAATACAGATACATCCACACTTGAACTGAATAATATGTGTTAGCTGTGTAGACCAATCAGTGAACTTAATCATTAAAGGGCTCTTGTTTACATGTTTACTTGACAAGTCATTTAGAAAGCACGTAACACTGTGTGTGTAACGCAACTGAGGGGTGAAATGCTTATATGAATGCATACCTCGAATCACTTCCTGGTTTGGTGAGATAGGCCGTCACCCGCTTCAAAGACTGGCAGGTGTCGATTTTAATCAGATCGCCTTGACTGAAGGTTCCGGCATCGTTGAGACTGTATATTCCTTCAGTAACCCGTACAAGAGTCGGAATTTCAGGAACAATGTCACTCAGTTTGCAGGTTTCGGGAGACCAGAGTCGATCGTCGTCGTATTTATCCGAGGCCGCCATCTCGGTGTCTGTTCATAGTTACGTGTGTAGGCACCTCGTAATAGCGCTGTACATAGGCCGCATACCGCTGAAAACTCGATTTGAATACGGGGTGGAGCCACAGTTTAATTGACCAATCAAACTGTGTGTAGATGTTTACACCTCCACCCCCAATGTATGGTGTCGTTCAGTAACAGAATATAGCCTTATATATATATAAACACAGCGTAATACTAGGGGCGACATTGGCTACAGCCAGAAGCCGACGTAAAACTTCAAATCATCATCATCAGGGGCGGTGGGGTAGCCTAGTGGTTAAGGCATCCGCTCGTCACGTCAAAGACCCGGGTTCGATGCCCCACATGGGCACAATGTGTGAAGCCGATTTCTGGTGTCCCCCCGCCGTGATATTGCTGGAATATTGCTAAAAGCGGCGATAAACTGAACTCACTCATTCACAGTGTAATACTATTTATTACATTTCCGTGTGCGAAATACCCATAATGTTGGAAAGCGCACGTTAAATGTCCAAATCATTATCATTTAGTTATTGTACCGTGTGGGAAATACGCAATATATGTCGGTAAGCGCACGTTAAATCTCCAAATCATCATCACCTATTTAATAGACTGTAATCACATAATCGGTAAATATTAGATAATATTGGAAATGTCTGCATATAACGTTTTTGTCGCGATGTTTCCATACGTGAGTGAGAGAGTGAGTTTGAACAGCATCAAAGTATAATCCCAAATATAACAAATGCTGTATTTGACAACTTTCTAAATGGTAAATTGTGTATTTAAATAACATTGTGTACTCCCGCTTTGAACAGGATTCCAGTTACATCATATGGGTGGAATTAAGCATAATAAAGGAGACAGTTTGTGTACATGTGTGTACGTGGTCATTACGAGGGCGGCGTACAAATAGCATCACTCGATTATTCATCCATCCTACCATCCTCTCTCTCTCTCTCTCTCTCTCTCTCACACACACACACACACACGCGCGCGCTGTCACTCTTATTACTGTCTAAAAACTGAAGGAACAGAATGTTATTGGGGAATTTCGATCGTCTTTGTGTCATTACGACAACATATAGAACAAGTATATATGGATGACAACTTCTTATATATTCTAGAGCACGAACCTGTATCGAAACGTCGTGCTGTAGAATAAAAGAAGTTGTCATCCATATATACTTGTTCTATCTGACTTCCAACTTCTAAAAATGCCACTCAAAGAAATTATGACAACAGACTTCGACAATATTTTAATCAGTCGCCTTGCAATGCGCCGTAATGCGGTGCGCTACATCAAATAGACAAGAGCCCAGTCAAATGGATCACGCGCTCGCCTACTAAAAATGGACCCCTGAAAATAACCAATGTAGGAATATTATTATGTTTGTAAGGGAAGTTGATAACAGTCTCCAACAAATATAGGAGGTGCACATTTATGCAACAAACACAATACAACCCAAGGCATTATAAGACATTAAAAGATAATTATTCCGGTATTTATTCACATATCGATTTGGGTTCGAGATTACAAAACAACAAACATGGCTGACAGGTCAGTAGACAGTAAATGGTTGGTAATAAAGGCCGTTTGTAGCGTTGTTGATGAAGAGGTATTATTCTAAGATGGCAGAATGAAATATTAATTATCCTTTAAATGAAATGACTGGTTAATTATGAAAGAGGAGATGTTGCATGTAAGTTAACACGCAGTTGATAAATGTCCCAAAATTGATTACAAATATGTCTACTTGGCCTACATCTTGTAGACTTGGTACTTTCAAAATATGCCAACATGATTCCTACATTCTGACATGACAGTGACAATCACTAAAATATGTTTTGTCGTACTTAAGGTTTGATTTTCTTCAGCGCTGACAGTTATATCTGACACCAGAGAACTGCGCGTAAGCCAACAAATGTTTCAGGTTTCATTGTTTTGCAAACAGCTGATAATTCATTCGATAGACACGATATTTGGGATAGTAGTTTTAAAAAATCTCTTGATGTTTCCACAGCAGCGGAACGAGTGATGGCGGGTCTTGGTGGGGTGGATGGCTGCAGGCTGCCAAGGAAAAGGTTTGCATATGATCATATGTGATCGCTATCTGATTTTGTCGTCATAGTCACATCCATTGTCAATGTTATGAATGTAAACCCTCCATGGTGGTCTTGTCCACTGTCATTACGTTAACAAGTCTGTATGTAGCCAAACCGAAATTGCATATATATATACGATGATAAATATAGTGTTGATTATTTGCTTCGTTTCAGAGGAATAAAAATCATTGTTTAGATGTCTAGATTTAATTGATTGGTTTGAAAACATCAATCAATGATCACATTGTGACCAGTCATGAACAATAATGGAAATTAATAGATTTAGTCAAATCTTTTTCTGTATCTTTTAGTTTCATGACAGTGATGTAAATTACACTGCTTAAACCTCTTACAGTTGCCAAAAATGTAGCTGATGTTTTTACTATGATCTTCAAAGCAAACATTACATATGCTATAAACATGATAAAGTCATTCCTTTTTTGACACTGTCTGTTTCAACACCTCTTACATTCAATTTCATCAACCCAAGTAAATCCATAGCAATAAACTATTCATCATGTCCATGCTATGGCTGCGCCATTTTGTTGAAAACTAAGCAGTCTATTATTTTGTGATCAGTTCCTTTGCTGGATACTGAAACCAATCAAGTTTTGATGAAATCACTTAACTTGATCAGCTCTACTTTCTCTGTGTATGAAATCAGACGACCTCAGCCATGGACTTTGTCAAAAAGGATCTAGCAGAGTTCACATCAACAATGCAAAATGACACAGCTTCTGCTGTCCAGGTCACCAGCTCCACGATTCAAGAAACTCTCAAGGTATATTATTCTTGTTTTGGAAAGAAAAATCCTGATTTAGCATGTACAGTGCCAAAAAAGAATTGATTTACAAATTGTTTCCGAATTCTCTTTACGCCACACTAACCAAATGTTCCATATGCAACACTTATTTCATTAGAACTACTGTATTTCTGTCAGAGATGCGACCGCCTCTGTGGTGTAGTGGTTAGAGCGTCCGCCTGGAGAGCGGAAGGTCGCGGGTTCAATCCCCGACTGCGTCATACCAAAAGACGTTAAAATATGGTACTTGTTGGTCCCTGCCTGGTGCTCGGCATTAATGGGTACAACAAGGACTGGTCGGCCCTGAGTCAGTATAATGTGTCTGAGTGGGGTATTCCTGCTTCACTGCGGCATGGTATCTCAGTGGGCTAGCACTATAAATCCAGCTTCAGTCTGGGCTAGTACAAGAAGATACACATGCATACACGTCGTCATATGAGCGAAATATTCTCAAGCACGACGTAAAACCCAATTTCACCTCACCTCACCTCACCTGTCAGAGATGCATAAAGTACACACATGGAGAAACTAGAATAGTTCTTGCAATCAAGGTGTTGATCAAGACCTTTTCCGAGGCTGTCATAGAGCCCCAAGTCTGCAGTAAATATCAATACAATCTCCTGAAGTGAAATTTAACTTTACACAATTCAAGTCAGTAGAAGTTTTCTTCTTCTTTGAAGTCATTTAGAAGCTGATATTATTAAGAAGAACAAGATTTATGGACTGACAACTTGTTCGTTGCAATAGATGTGACATTTTGGTGTAGATGCTAACACCATTATCGGGCAAGTGATAACAGTTTTGTAGAAGTAATTATGTAACTTTTAACAAGACCATTGAAAAGAAAAGATGATTAAATGAATCATTTTATGGAATGCAATGTTTAATACATCAGAGCGTGTATCATTCTCTTCCCACAGAGGTTGCTTGTCATATCTTCCTACGAACTTCTGTTCTAATACAGCCATATTTCCTGGTTCTCATAAAATCCCCTAGAGCCAACAAATCGTAACATGAATTATCTCCCTTCTTTCTATCCAATCAGAACACATGTTACATCGACTTAGATCCAGCTTGCCTAATGCAAGCAAATGTGTAGCCACAAATATCCCTCCTCTGCCAGGGACTTGTGTTGATGTGACACACAAGGCATTTAATGGCTAGCTTGTTCGTTGTCAACGAGGGCGATGGAGACGCCATTGATCTGCTATTACATGACTGAGTTCTGTCTAGAAGAAACGTTTGCACATCACGCAGGGGAAGAGGTTCTAGTTTTCTCGAAGCATACAGAAATTACCGAGACCTTGGGAATGATCACTTTTGAAACAATGTTGCTGACTGCACAACTAAATCTGATTGCAATAAATCACGAATCCTGAACACTCGCACCATGAAAGGGCCGTATTAGAACAGAGGTTTGTAGGAAGATGTGACAAGTAACCTCTGGGAAGAAAATGAGCATGTACATATGTAATCCACATTTTGAACAAAATAATGGTTGTTTATCCAGTTTGCCTGCCAATGAGACCTATCTCAGAATCCTCCATAAATCCCTGTACTAAATCAGAGAATGTTAACATTCCTTTATTATGTCATGCTACATTAGCTGTGTATTTAATATGTTACATAAGTATTATGGTCAGCTGCATCAGCATGCATTGTTATCAGGGCTAATTATCACACGACACAATTTTGTCCAGAGGTGTTAAGTCAGTTCTAGTCATAATCAGTATGACACAAGTGTTTTCATTCTGATGTCATCAATTGAAAATTGGATTTCTTAACATGCTAAATATTCCTTTTGGCAAGGACACATGGAGGTTTTAAAAGTTTGAGTTAGGGACCGTTCATAATTTATGGCTGGGGGGGATGATGCTTTTAAGGGGGTCACCCATTTTGTTGTGGGGATTGGGGGTCATCAATTTTGTAAACACATATGGGGGTCATCAATTTTGTAAACACATGGGGGCATCAATTTTGTACATAAAAATATGTTTAAAATTATGCTTAGAAATTATGGGAATGGGGGGTCATTGATTTTGTACATGACATGCAGGGGGGTCACTTATTTTGTACATAAATTTTAGGGGGGGACATTCACGTTGTACATGCTTCTCCATAAAAATCATCATCATCCCCCCTAGCCATAAAATATGAATGGTCCCTTAGTGAGTGAATATGGTTTTAGTCTGCTTTTAAGCAATATTCCAGCAATATCAAACTCAAAGCAAGGGATATTGAATCTAGACCAAGATCTTTGGCATGATGAGCAAGCTTCATGCATGACTAAACTATGCCCCTTGGGAAAGGTGATATGCAGAGGTTTGTCAGCACTATATCTATACTCGAGAGGGTCATGCTGATGACTTGCATCCCTTCAGGCTTCTGTCAAGCTGACTTCAAGCTGACTTCAAGCTGACATGCTTTGTTGTAACTGAAACACTGTTGGAAGCAGCATTAGACCTTACTGACTCACTCGGAAGGATTTGCATGATTCAGTGTGTGAAACTTACGCTGGTCCTGTGGTCCCTGGCTAGTAAAATTTCATCAGGACCACTAAATGATAAGTTTGCAGTGGTCCTGGTGCCCAGTGAATTTCTTAAGTAAATTTACAAATGTTATTTGGACCAGTGAAGTACAGACAGGACCACTAATTATTGTCCACTCACTGATCCTGTGGTCTAGTGGGAAATTTTGAAAGGCTTCTTTCCCTGATGATTTGGTTGTGGAACCTTTCTAGGCTGAGAACACTGAGGCAGCCAAGGACAAGATGAAGCAGAGCATCAGTGGCTTCTTCGGAAGGAGTGTCGAGTGCGCTGAAGATTCCTGCTGAGGACAAGGAGGAGCCAGTCAAGCCAAGAGATCGGGGCACAGCTGGCATGTTGTATGACCGCTCAAAGGTAGGACTACTGTACAAGCAGCACTTACAAATTTGGAATTAATAACAAAAACATTGTACACAATTTGAAGTCTTGACTCATGTTATCGTATCCCAATTGCGTAGATCGGTGCTCATGATGTTGATCACTGGATTGTCTGGTACAGCCTCGAATATTTACAGACTGCCGCCATCTAGCTGGAATATTTCTTAGTGCGGCGTTACAAACAAGCAAATCATTATTCGATTATATTTCAAGCGTATTTGGCTCTAACTGATAAGGGGACTTTTTAAAAAGTTTATTCTATGTCTACACCATTTGAGAAACTTCTTATTAGTATATGTGGGGCGGTGGGGTAGCCTAATGGTTAAAGCGTTGGCTCGTCACGCCGAAGACCCGGGGTTCGAATCCCCACATGGGTACAATGTGTGAAGCCCATTTCTGGAGTCCCCCGCCGTGATGTTGATGGAATATTGCTAAAAGTGGCGTAAAACCAAACTCAGTCAGTCAGTATTAGTATGTGTTCATGTGCTTCCACATTGAGTCACATGTAGCACTTTTTCATAAAAGTGACACATATCTATCTTACAATAAGTGAGGTGTGGCAAATCCATGCATTGCTGGCTGTGGCGGACTTTGTGTACAGATGATGCCTGCTTTCTGTCAGTAAGAAAAGATAAGGAAACACCTGCATTGGGTACCAAATTACACATACAGAAACAGAGTATGTGTCATGGTTTTTATCCAGTGTGCAAAATAGCCACTGGCCCGCTAGCCCGTGGCTAGTAAAATTCCAGTCGGCCAGAAAATCTCCACAGTCACTGGCTCGACTGGCTAGTGAGTTTTAATGGGATCATTTGTAAATATATCCCTCTCTCCATATTGTTAAGTTATGATACACTTTTAAATCATGCAACATTTTGCCTGATAAAAATGTTCATCATATTAGCAGCTTAATGATGAAACCTGTGTCTACATTCAAATTTCAGGCTTGTGAATTATTTTGTGGGCTAGTAACTTTCAGGAATAGCTCGCCCTATAGGCTAGCAAAATTTTAAACTATTTCGCACACCATTTTGATCCATGAATATCAGTGACATTGGGTATTTAACATGGCTCTATATTTCAAGCACTTAAGTGGTAGAGTGAGTGAGTTTAGTTTTGCGCCGCTTTTGCAATATAATGGTACAGGGACGCCAGAAATAGGCTTCACATATTGTACCATTGCAGGGAATCGAACCCAGGTCTTCGGCATGATGAGTGAATACTTTAACCACTAGGCTACCCTACATGCCCCTCATGTAGTAGAAAGAAAGAGATTGATTGAATACCCAAAGGAAACTTAGAGTACCCCATGAAGATAACATGTGAGAGAATGTCTCTTGTGTTGAGCACTGTCTGGAGCTTTTATCACATATTCTTTAAATCAAGACTAATTTGATAAACCTATGACCAAATCTGTGACTGATTTCAGGTGCGACTACATGCTGTACAGGTAGATCCGGGCACATACCTGAATGAACCAAGTGGCTCACCCAAGGAGTTCCAGGAATGGCTGAAGACGTTTAATCTGGAAGAGCAGAAAGGAGCAATCTCTGAGCTTCTGGTTGTGAAGGTGGAAGTTCGCGGTCTCTACACAAAACTGGTGAGTTGAAGCAGTAGGTCCAGTTGTGATGACACTTGGGAGTTATATAAGGATTCAGTCAAACACAAAACTATACAAGTGTGTTTCTGTTGTCTTTGTTTTTTTGTTTAGTGCTGCACTCAGCAATACTCAAACAGTATGATGGCAGTCAGTAAACAATCCATTGACTGACAACATGAGCATCGATCTATACACTGGCATGTATCAGCCAAGTCGGTTAGCCTGATCACCCAATCCTGTTGGTCCCTTCTTAGAAGCATGGGTTGCTGAAGACAGTTCTCATCCTGATCACACACTCTTTGGGGGTCTCAGACTTGAATATAGGGGTCGCCATTCTGTCTCTACACCACTGATAAAATACCTTATTCCTTGTGGCTCTTAGATTATTCTCTAAATTGACTGACATGATGATTTGGAGTGTGTGTAACACAAACCATATAATATTTGGTAACAAACTTTTCAGTATGAACTATTTTGCAAGGTCAGGGAGATGCCAGAAAGCATGTGACCCAGATGTGCTCTAACCATATTAATCTGAATTGGGTTAATGCAGGTGCCCTCCCGAGCTGTCCCACTCTGAGTTCTGGCAGCGCTACTTCTACAAGGTGTTCCAGCTCCAGCAGGATGAAGCTCGGAAACAGGCGCTGATGAAGCGAGCAGAGACACCCACAGAAGAGGACAGTCTAGGATGGGAAGGTAGTTTGTCCATGAGATGTTTGTTGTTGTGTTTGTTGTTTAGGGCAACAATCTGCAATATTCCAGCTGTATGATAGCAGCCAGAAATACGTTGAGGTACAGTGGCACGCAGTTAACCACGTCGCTGATACCTACCATCAAGTCATCACTGACGACCAACATAGGTTGCTGGGAGGTGAAGAAGTCCCAAGCAATACCTCTCCTCTCAAGGTTAACAAGTGGTCAGCACTCACTTGGCATCCTTAACCTGACTCCAAACACTTGTTGAGTTGATGTCAACATCCGCAGTCTTCTCATAGTGAGTTTTTTGTATATAGTACTGTCCTTGTTTCCTTTTCTTGGTTTTGTAACTGATATGTGCTGTTTTGATGTCTTTAGATGACTGGAGTGGAGATGAGTGTGATGAGTTTGAAACAGTGACTGCCAAAGAACTGAAGGACATACGACAAGAGGACAGTGTCCGCTCACGTCTTGAACCAGAACCAGAGGTCAAGGACATTTCCAGTACAGAGACAGTGGAATCCAGACTCCAGGCACCTGTTGCTGTGAGTCCACCGGTGAAGAGCGAATCTACTCAAGCTGCAGAACACAAAACATCTGACAATAGGACAGAGGAAAGTGTTTCTTCACAAGGTGTGAATACCCAAAACAACCTTGAGACAGAAGGAAAATCCCGGAAACAAGACAGTGGTGTGTCACCGGTAGATGCCACCAGTCTACAAAAACAAGAGGCTAAAGAGAACAAGGTTTCTGGAAAACCATCCACTGAAAAGGAAGTAAAGGACGTGCCAAGTGTTGAAACTGTAGCCACTGAGCAACGTGATGTTTCTTCTGTTACGACTGAGCAACAGAATGTTTCCTCTGTGACCTCTGACCAACAAGATGTTTCCTCGGTTACATCTGGCCATCATGGTGGAACCACACCTCTTTCATCCAAGTCTCCACAAACAGCAGACCTTCCACAAACCCAGAAACAAGATGATGTTGTGACAGAACAGACCACAGAAAAGCCTTCAGTTCAGGACAACTCTGTTCCTGCTGAGACACATTCACCTCCTTGTGTAGAACTTCCATCCTCCTCCATTGAAGAAGTAGCCAAGGGAGACAACTCAGTTGTGGAAGCAGATGGTGGAGATCTGAAGACGAAGGTGAAAGGAGACTTGGTAGTTGTGGGATCCGACCGGGAGTCACCAACATCAGACTCCAGCGGCAATAAAGGTAGGAACTGTCATATGCCATTTTGTTTGTAGTCCAAATTCAGAACAGGGCTTTTACCATGATGGAAGAAAAAGGGTTAACTGTTGGAGAGATATATCAAGGGTTAATGTGTCAGCTATCATGAGTTTGAATCCTGGATGGGATTCAACCCATCAAAAGTACTAGAATCTGTACTTTACTAAGAAAGTGTAATCCCAAATATAACATATGTTACATTTGACCACTTTCTAAATGGCATTGTGTAGTCATATCATTAGTTTAGCTTAGACATTACAACATGCTTATTTCAAACTTATGTCTAAATATCCATGCCCCGTGAAAGATGGAAATGTTCTGAGGATGACAGTCAGTAACCAACGATGTGTGGCGAAATTCATCATGATGACACAATCCTGGTGTGTGCATAGCAATTTCTCTGGTTCCGTAGGTGTTATGTTATCGTCAAGACAAACAATTTTCTTGAAGCATAATAGCATGTTTAGACAAGCTGTAAAATCCTTCCTTCCATTATGATGGTAATCCATCACAAAACATTTTCAAAACACACTCTTGGTTAGTATTTTAGGACAGTAGTCACTGCAGGCAAATGGAACCACGTTGAACTGTGTCAGAGAGGTCACTAGGGTCACAAGCACTTATGTATTTGGAACCAAATTGTCTCATGAATACCTGCATACCTCTCTTGTAAAACTTGATATTTCTTCAAAAGTTCAGTGTGAAAGCATGAAAAGAGGCAAAATGATTGTTCACAAAATTGGGAATAGAAAAGGGTTGTCATGACATTGAACTAATAAAAACATTAAACGAGGGAGCAACTAAAATAATATTCCTCATGGTCGTTTTGGTGAAAAGTGAACCTTTTTTTATATAAAGAACCTGCTTATTTTGTAGCTAAGTTTTGAGTATATATGCCTGGAAAATAAGATCACAGTATGTTTGTCACCATGGTTACAAGCTTGGGGCTATGTTATGACTGTATGAAGCAAGGTATCAGTTGAAAGGGTAGAAATCTGTTTTGTCTGAAAATGTATTCAGAAGTTTTTAAGAATGGCTTTTTGTATCATGTGTACATGATATATGTAGTAGTTAAGAGTCAGTCCTGCCCCACAACGAAGCACATGTGATGCATGTGCTCTCACCTTAGGCAAGTGAGTTTGTTCACATTGCCTCTGTTCACCCAGCAGAAAAATGGGTACCCGGTGGGATAAAGTCTTATGATTATAACCTCTAGCGCCTAACGGGCAGCTTGGGTTATCCGGGGTAATAAGAATCAGATTCTGATTAAGCGCCGCGAGCAATCACTTGGTGTTTGGAGACTGTGCGCTATAGAAGATGACTTATTATTATTAGTAGTATTATGTGTATCTGTGTATATAAGTATTACGGACTAACGAAACTTTCTTTTGATTTTTACACTCTGTAGTGGTTATGTGTCTTTTTGATTGACGTTTAACTATCCTTTCTTTCATTCAGTGATGTCATGATTATGTTGTGAACTATTAGTTTTATTTTGACTTTCTTTGCTTCATTTTGGTTTTTGATTTTGTTTCTCTCCCTGCATGCATGTTGATGTTGTGTCTTTGTTGCCATGGTTACAACAGACTACCTGCGATTGGTTCCAGAACCAAGTGTAGATGATGATTGGGAGCAGGACTTTGATGTGGAGTTGACAGAGGAAGACTTGAAGGCTGCCGAAGCCATTGCCAAAAAAAGAGGTTCCAATGCGGATGCGGGGGTAAGTAGATTTCCAGAAATATGGCAGTGTGATCAAGCAAAAATATGTTAGACTGTCACCTAACCATGTATTCCTTTAATAATTTCCTTATGTTTATAACCTAAACACTCCAGAATCTGATCCTACTTGCAGTGACAAATACAGTCAAACACCACCTTATCTAAGTTGGGAGGGGAGGTGGGGTAGCCTAGTGGTTAAGGCGTTTGCTCGTCATGCTGAAGACCCGGGTTTTATTCCCCACATGGGTGTCCCCACCGTGATATTGCAGCAATATTGCTAAAAGTGGCGTAAAACCATACTCACTCACTCATTGACTAAGTTGGCTGCAGCTGTATTAAATCTTATAGATATACAAGGTTCAATACAACTGCAAAACTATGACTGAATAACTGCACGTTCAACTCATCAAAGTCCAACACAACAGTGTTTGGCTGTAGGATGTTTCTTCTATGATGAAGCTTGTAGCTTAAATGGATTATGTTTCATGGGATTTACATTAAGCAATGCTGTGTGATTGAAAGTGTGATCTCTTCCTTTCAGGATGATGACTGGGAGAGCTGGGAGTAGACCCACAGATCAACTTCTGTGATGTGAGCAGTGTTCATTCTAGTTGCTAACAGTATGGGGCCAAATTGGGACAATAGAAAAACAAGTCAAAGAAAGACAACAACTGTCTGTTGAACTTGCCTTCAGTCTGAGATGATGCTCGACCACCAGCAACAGCAGCACCAGCACCAGCACCAGCAGCAGCAGCTACATATTTTTCAATAAATTTTATGTTATTCTACATGGGTGTTATAATGGCAAAGAGCTTTATAATTCTTGCTTGACCATTCTATAGATCGAGCAGAGCCACCATGCTATGCTCTTGGATGAACACTGATGTATATAGAGAGTGTTTGAACCTGAAAGCTTTCTCTCAGCTGTTGGGCAGGGACAGGTGTGGTTGTATATACTGAAAGGTCTGCATCTTAAGCTTGCTGTGATACAAGCTGATACAGGTGGTACAGCAATGGTACAGAATGGGGCAACAACTCAACTATCATCTTTTCTGTTTGATGACACTGAGCGGTGTTGTATGTTGTTGAAAAAATCGACTTATCATCTAAACTGTTTAATGTAGCAGGGAAACAACATTGTTCATATTGTCAAAGATATTCAGTGATAACACTGTCATGGTGGTATGTGTTTAATGTCTAAAATAAAAGAATGTGTTCTAAGTTGTCAGGAAATGAATGTTGCGGTCTAAGATACACATGTTCTCTGTCCCGTGAAGAAGGTACTATTACAGTGTGACTCTAAAGAGGAAACAACCATAAATGGAAACAGTCATAAGATTCAAGAAAAGACCTTTTAGATTGATATTCTGATTTAGCCAGCCAGGCCCAGCCCACTAGAAATGAAAAGATGAATAGAAATAAGAACTGCTAAATAGTGTATTTCTTTACCTGCCAAATGCAAACTTATCTGTTTATTACAGTAAAATATTCCAGTACTGTAGACTACATATACAACGCATGCCCTTATAACAAACTGGCAGATATAACGAACTGTCTCTTTGGTCCCTTCAGCTTCGTTCCTATTTGTCTCGAAATGCATAAAAAAAACAATGGTTATAACAAATTAATTGTTCATTTTAAGTGAAGTTTACTATATGTCAAAATGCAAGAGATATTAAAACAAGATTCATGAAATGCTAGATCCTTACTACATGTATTTGGAAGATGAAAATATTTTATAAATTCTATTTTTTTCACCTAATGAATAGGACTTTCAAAGAAATACATGTAAACCTAATAAGTATAAATAGTTTTCATTTTGATACGTACCATGATAAAATCATTCTTTATGATGTGTATTGTTCACAGATTGTCTTGCAAATCACATAGTCTACAACCTGATAGTGTTTCAGAGCTTTATCTCATGTAGTTCATTATGCTGGTCAGTTGGTCCTGGTGTTAGGATTTGGGGGGTATCTATTCTCACTTAGAGACCGTTCATAATTTATGACTAGGGGGTGATGATGATTTTTATGGAGAAGCATGTACAATGTGAATGACCCCCCTAACATTATTTACAAAATACGTGACCCCCCTGCATGTCATGTACAAAATCAATGTCTTCCCCCCCTTCCCATAATTTCTAAGCATAATTTCAAACATAATTTTATGTACAAAATTGCTGACCCCTTAAAATGATCATTTTACTCTTTCTCTCCCCTCAAAAAAAAAAGTGCCATAAATTATGAACGCTCCCCTTAATAGAGATATAATTCCCTGGACAACTGAGGATGATCTGTATATTTGTTTATCATCTCATCCCTATCTGAACCTTCCATGGTAGAGGCAGCCTGTACTTTAACACAATTGAGGTTATATATTTACCATGGCAACCAATCTCAATCTTATCTCAGCTGTCCTGTATATTCACAGGGGTTTGACGACATCATAAGATGAATCATCTGTATTATGATCACATGATCAGAGGGATATCCATGTGTGCTTTCATGAAATATGTTTATGGATGAGATATCATATATATATGATTCCCAGGCTTTGGTGTTGGAGTCCTTAGAAATAGTTATGAATTTTAGGTGAAATCATTTCTTATGATCTTTTTTCTACGAATATACTTAATTTATGATTGTCATGATTGTGTATGTACAATGTAAGTGTACAGATTGCTTGTTAGGCAAAATATAATCATTCTTATTTCAAGCTATTCATCTGTAAAGGTAATTGGCACCATCAGTTTTCATTAGAGTATGGGTTTCTAGTTAAGATTTGATTCCGGGTGTTCTAGTAGCCATTATGGCTCAGATTATTTGCAGATTTGTCTCGTTTAATTTTACTTCAGAAATAATAATTAATGATTCAACATTATTGTAAACATAAATGTTTTATGCTTGTTTAGAATATACAGAGTACTGTAACAGTCAGAGATAATAGTTACCTGCTTCCAGCCATGAGGAAGAGATGATCTTGTCACAGGTTGTTTCATCAATAAACAAATCTGCATATACTTGCAATCTTAAACTATTTACTTTTAAATAGAGACAGATTTTCATCCCTGCCTGCATCATTTGATGTTGGTGGCGGTGGGGTAGCCTAGTGGTTAAAGTGTCTGTTCGTCATGCTGAAGACCTGGGTTCGATTCCCCCACATGAGTACAGTGTGTGAAGACCATTTCTGGTGTCCCTTGCAATGATCTTGCTGGAATATTGCTGAAAGTGAGGTAAAGCAATACTCACTCGTTTGATGTTGGAAATAAATTTGGGTGGACTAATCATGTTCTGTCTACACCAGTCAGATATCTAGTAGTTTCCTTGTCAGTTTCAAGAGGGAGATTCAATTAAGTAAATGATCAATAGAGTAAAGCACACCTGACACCTGCATGGTTATATTTAAAAAATATATATATATTGTTATGTAATAACAGCTGTATATATCATGTGTTAAGGTTATATATCCCTTGTATTGTTGATGATACTGGAGATTTCACACTCGGCATCTCTTAAATCAATGTATGGTTGAAAACAGTCAGTTGTAACTGATAAGATCTTACACTTTTTTATCTTTGAATGAAAAAGGCCATGTTTAGATTAAGGAATTTATTCGAAAACTAAGTAATGTGTACATATTTTCATTTTCTGTTTTTTTAAACTTTGTTTAAGAACTTGCTACTCTCTTTATGATGCTAGATTTTGTGAGTGCTTCTAGCTATTATGTACCAGTTTTACACCTGGTTCTTTCAGTGAGTCTATGTAATATGAGGAAAGTGCGTACTTGCATTTGTAAGGAAGTCGCATGTTAACACCGTGAACCTCCTTATATGGGTGATAAAAGTAAAGGGATTTGATTTTTTTTGGCCATTGTAAGTTTCTATTTTGTTTTGGTTATGGCTAATATTTGCAGATCATGAAACAAAAATATGAATTTTAAACATTTGTCCTTTGCTTCTCGATGAGGGTTGAATTTTGCATGTGGGAAGATCTATTGTACCAGAATGCCTTTAAGATGGTTAAATTCTTGTCAGTATTCCTTTATTACATATTGAGGGGATCTGTGTCCATGTTAGTGGTGTATCATCATTAGCTGGTTCTCTGTGTATAAATACCATTTCGGAGAACCGTGTATAGCTATATCACCATATTTATTTATTGGCAATAAAATGCTAAACAAATTACCAGTGTGTTTTATTTCTTGGTGACTTTTGAAGAGAGACCTGTACTCTTGTGCAGAGTTGTGAGCCTTCACAATGCCAGGATCTGCTGATCCTGGGTTGAGTCCCAAATTCACCCTGGTTATTATCTTAGGCTTGTCTGCATGTCATCTTTGTCATGTGGACAACCATGATGGCTGCTTGGAATAATTGTACAATGTGACAGGACACATTTTAGGCTCAATTTCCTATGCACAATTGGATTTAAGGTAATAGTTCCTAATTACATGGCTATTTTTTAAAGTGTTTTCCTAAAAGGAAATGTTTAAAGGTCACATGCAACGTAAAATACAACTTTGCAGATTCTGATACCTTTCGGTATGGACTTACCGAAACAAAGCGTCAAAAATGCAAATTCAGCTTATAAAGTTGAAAAATAACGCGATGAAAACAACCGCGCGAAATCGGAGTTCAAACGTTTACGGGTTTCAACAGCTGGGCTGCGCTCATAGCACGTGCGCAGTGAAATAGGTTCGCGCAACTTGGAAGCGGGCTGTCTGGTGAATACTCGGTGAAGGCTTTGGTGTGACCTATTTTCATAATGTTTTGTTGATATCTCACAGGCGCGAGCTTTTTATATGTTATGACAGTAAATAAACTGTTTATATAATTTCATTTGTCTATTTCACCACACGTTCTTCTTACCGAGTCACTTTCTCAGTTCGATACTTAAAAGCAATGTCATTATTTAGCGTTGACACAATTTCTAACTGTGATTTAGATATGTCGCTGTCACAGACAAAACCCAATGTCTTGTTTTATTGACACCTGTGTGTTTGCCTGCCTGTCTGCTAATGACAATATTCAATACACAACTGCGATCACTGACCACATGCAATTTGAACTTAACACCAATCAGGCTATACACCATAAACAAAACGCATTGATTTATGGCCCGAGTTCGGTCTCTGTCACATTATGTAATTACACAGACAGGCAGGTGTGATACTTGAACACATGACATGTTATGATGTCTGTTGATTGCAAAATGTTATACACAAAAAATGAGCATGTATTTACAAAACCCAACATCTCTATATATACACACACAATGAGCCGTGAAGGCAGCATCTGCTGATGAACCAGCCGTTACACTTGAGTGCACACCCACCCGCTCTGACTGGGTTCGGTATCCCGGCTGCTTCGTTTCTTGGGAGGTAAACCCAAGTACAAAATATTGCACTTTTGATTTGCGATTATACGCTTATAATTTTGTTTATTTGTTTTTTCATAATCAGCAATGCATATTATATGTCATGAAGAAGTGATAATTGTGTTTTAATTATGTTTGATTTTTTGGTTGCATGTGACCTTTAAGATAAACTGATGAATAATTGGTCATGGAATTGTAATGCTATTTTTCAGGAACAAAATTGATCATTTACAGCCTGGTTTCATACAGCTTTATTTTGCAGTGCAAAACAAATAATGTCAACAATACAAGAAGTATCCAGTATTGGGAAGTTTTGCAGTGGAGAAGATATTTTAGCATTGCTTAAGACTTCAGACATGGAAATAAGAATGCTATGAAAACGTCTACATTTACTTGTGGCAATAGTCTTTTGGTGTGGTCATGAATGAAATTAATTAACATAAGCATCCATAGGTACAGCTCACCTTTATGCAGTTATCGAATCTGAGTGGTGATATTTTAGGGTGTATTAGGTGATATTTAATGACTGTTAAAGTTAAAACATATTAGTATAGACAAACTTGAATGATAACAACTTTGTTATTTTGTGAGTGCGTTTTAATACCACTTCTTCTACCTTTGTCAAGCAGTAATGTAACACAAAATTCCTCTCAAAAAGTCACTGGTGTTATGCTCTCTTGTATTTGGTTTTTCTTCAGTGGAGTCAGCCTCTATATCTCCAGGACTCTAAGAAACCTAAACTTACCAGTGGTCCCATCCTCTGGTTCTCGCAATCATATATAACCCTCTGTTGATTTTTATCCCCATTTTACCAAAAACAGCGACATGGTAAGGGAAAGGGTAAGGGAGGCAACTGGTATTACCTCGAAACCAAAGCTGCTAAGTATATCATAGATATTAACCACTTTGGTAAAATCAAAGTGCATTCGTTCGGATGGTGACAAAGTTATAAACATTCCGGTTAAATCTGTGAAACAAACACCAATTTGGCCATGTGAATTGCAGTATCCTAGAACTGTTCCCCTTTTCAGGAATGAAAGTGGATACGGTTTGTTTGCCTTGAATATGTTATATCTATGTTATATAAGTTTGAAGAGGTATTCAGTTCAGACTAAAAACACGATGGTTTAATTTCATGATATTAGGCAAAGTAAAAATATGAAAATATCAGAAATAAATAATTTTGTCACAATATTTTGCAACAGGAAAGGAAGCAACTGGCTTTTCTACTTCGATCACGTCCTCATATCTAAATATGTAGACAAATAACATCACGATCTTTCCTTATGAATAGGTTCCCACTTCCTTCCATCCATGTGGTAGATAATATGATTATCAATAGGAAAAAACATGTTTAGCTCACCTGGCTGATAATCCATCTGTCAAATAAGTGCATGACTAGAGGTGAAATCCATTAATGGTCCTGACTACATATTCATATCCGACTTCAAAATGGCCGTTTTGACAGCCATTTTGAAAATGTCATTTTTTGTCTTTTATTCAGACATTTCTGAAAGTGTCGTTATGAAATTATTTGCAGCATATACAGTACAACCAGAAATTATTGAGAATTTAAAGATTGTAAATTTTTTAAAAATTTCACTCATTACTCATGTATTAAATGTGAATATTAGCAGAACATAACTCCAGACTCAAAGACAGGTGAACAGTTAGTATTTTGTCACGTCACCATGGGCAGCAATGCAGGCTTCAATGCGGCGGGGCATACTACTGATCAAAGACGTTAGAAAGTCATGGTCCATGCTGTCCCAATATCGGACCACCTCTTCTTTCATTTCAGCAATATTTGTCAGATTTTTCTTATTGACACTTTCCTTCGTAAGTCCCCAAACATTTTCTATTGGATTTAGGTCAGGGCTATAGCTTGGCCAATCTAATAATGTCATATTTTGGGTCCGAAACCAGGCCAGTGAATGCTTTGAACGATGTTTTGGGTCGTTGTCCTGCTGGAAAATCCACGTGAGCAGATGTCCCTCGAGAATATCTGTGTACCGCTCACTGTTCATATTCCCTTCAAAAACACAGGGGCGTTGCCCCTAACACAGATATGCCACCCCACACATTCAATTTCAGACTGTACTTTGGGCGCTGATACAAAGGTTTTTCAGTTTGTTTGGTCCAGAATTTCAGTGTATTTGGAAACAGCCACACAGAACTTTCATCTGAGAAAATCACATTGTCCCAGTTACAATTTCTATGCTGTAAGCACCAGTTCAACCTTCGCTCCTTTTGTTCAGGTTTTATGATCGGTGATGAAATTCCTCGACTTTTCTGCCAACCCATTGCATGCAGTTTAGTTCTAATTGTCTCCTTACAGACAGCCACAGTTCCTCTATCAATCATATCCATCCTTAAGTTTTCTAAACTCCTTCATTTGTTTTTAGAAACAAGAATACCAAGCCACCTCCTGTCACCGACAGTCAATTTTCTGGGCCTACCTGCACCTCCCTGGTGCCCAATGCCACATCCGTTTGCAATATTTTTCAAAACACGATAAACAGTGGACAAAGGGATGCCTGTTCTACTTGAAATCACTTAAGCTGATCTGATGTCCTTGTTATAATACTCTAAAATCAACTTTCTCTTCTCTAAATCATCCATACTGAGAATCACTGAAAATGTTTAATTAAACATATTCCTAAAATTCTCAATAATTTCTGGTCATACTATATAATATGATCATCAGTAATACATGAAACATAATCTGGGTATATTTTCAATTTGTATCAAGATACCTTTGACCTTGAAGAACAGCTCAAGATCTCTGAAACAGCTTATCTTTTTTATAAATAATCCTAGTGAATTACTAGCAATGGTATGTCTAAAACATGACACAGAATTCCTTGCCAATTGTATTGATACCAGCCATTATTTCTTTCCAATGAGTTTCAAGTGAGCTGTACAGCCCTGTGGCTCTATTTCTGTTAACAATAACAATCATAAATCATGATTGTAAACATTTCAAGACACTTCTAATCTCCTGACCAGACTAATCCAGCTGGTATAAACACCTTAAGACCCTCATTTGTCAGACTTGACTCAAATACACAAATGATACAGGTAGAAATTAGCAACTGTTTGACCACCCTTGATTTTCTAGTTTATTATACGTGTGTATGTCCATTCATTTTGATAAATATCCTGGGTCTATTCTCCACAATAGCTCGTTCAATGTTAATATCATGTCATCATGAAATGTTTTTGCTCATGACCTTGAAACAACCAATCAAGACGACTGTTGTTTGCCATAGATTCAGCTTAATCACAGGAATCAAGCAAGCTCCCCACCTGCTCCCCCATAGACTTAATCAAATCAACAAATTGTTGAAAAGATTCTTTTAGCAGACAAAAATGTGTTTTTCAAGTTGTTATTCAGACATTTGGCCATAACACACTAGTAAGTGACACAAGGGATTGTTTTATGACACTTTAAGGAATATTTTTTCATGGCAGGAAGCACTAGAAATGGACTTTTTAAAGTGAACCCATGTCTTGTTGCTTGATGAGCTAGCACTTGGCTACCCAGCTGCCATCTTGAGGACTAGTGATATCGCCACTTGTGTTAATCCTGAAAGAACAAGGTCAGTGGATTGCCGGGCTATTTTAAGTGTTGAATCATTCCAATCATAGTCAAAACAGTCGTATTTTGGCAAACAGATCCTGGTTATACCAGAGTGAAATAGTAAGAGGATCCTCAAATAACAAATTCAAGGATGAAGTTAAATCTTCATGCCCCCAAAAACAATAATGGTGCATGTCTAAAGCTGAATCTTGGTGAAAATAGGAATGGATCTCTTCTCAGGATAGGTTTGTTTCTTTATTGTTTGATGTTGAACTCAGCCACATTACAGATATATGATGGTAAATAATCAACTTTGGGAAGACATCCTGTGACTGACATCATGAGCATTGATCTATACAATACAATGACATGACAAGCAAGTCAGCAAGTCTGACCACCTGGCCTCTTACAACTTGCTTGCTGATGATCAGTTCAAAGCTGGATCTTTCGTTGAATAACCAGGGTGGTAGAAAACTAGAACACTAAGATGAACTGTTGTAAGATTTATTTACTCTAGTGACTACTGACTACTCACTACGGTTATATACAAGAAAAACTGCATCTGAAATAAATTAGCTTTTGACTATTTATCAGTTCATTTTGTTACAGAGAGAAATCTAAACTCATAAATTTAAACATAATTGACTAGAAGCATAGATTTATACACCAGCCAGTGGTTTTCAAACCTAGAAATCAATTCACCTACAAAAACTGCTTAAGCTGAAAGGGAAGAATGTTACCAGACACAGAACAAGAAATTGAACACAGAAGTGAAATGACATCAATATACAGTGATTACATTCTACAGAAGACAACATCAAGGACAATAATAATAGTTTATACTGATGATGCTCCGATACTTGTAGAGCTGAACAGGTACAAACACTGTGTTCCACTGTTATCTGGTGGAACATTCCCAGTGCATATAGCTCTGTGTAGGTACAAACAGGTACACTGTGATTTAGAGCTTGATATTAAACCTCTGAACAAATGATGTCGTGCATAATCATAGCAAGAGTAGTCTGTGCCTCAATCCTTAATGTAGATTATGGTTCTGTTGCTGAGGCAAATGTTCACTTAGAGCTTAACGTAATCAAGATTTATGCAAAGTTGGAGAATTAAGGCCTTTTAAAGCCAAAAATACAACCAAAATATGTTTTTCAAAAACATGTATTATGACATTCTCAATTGCATTATCAGAATGGCTCCATATGTATGTCTAAATAAACCACCAAAATCTTATTCCAATATTCCAAATATTAGTCAATGGCTGTGTTACAGACTTTTCACTTGCTGTAATATCAATAGAAACAAAATACATATAACATGTTTACTCTAAAGCAGTGTTAAAAATGGTTGCCAGATTGAAGCCTTTTATCAAATGGTAAGACCTTCTCAAGGGAGAGATAGAAATGCAAGGCCATGTCAGCAGCCTCTTGTAGTTCAGTAACTATAGCAACTATACTGCTCCTTGACATCACATGACACATCATCAGTAATATAACCACATCAAGCAACTAGTCACAACTACAAAATCTGTCTAAGAACTCACAAATATCTTACTGAGTATTTTCGCTGGTATACGTCACCATAAATATTCGCCTGTCAACAAAAACATGTAATACACTATAAATAACATTCTACTGTCAACTAGCAACAACATAAATTACCTACTAGCATGCTATTTACAGGTTATTTACTTATTGTGATGTTATCAGTTGTTTTTACCCTGATAAGTGGAACACTTCACTCCAGTAGAGACACTGGGCAACAGGGGAAACATATCACAACAGTGGAACCTCTCTAAACTGGACTACCACTAATAAAGTTGTCCCCTGTTTAGACAGAATTTTGGTTTAGTGGTAATATATAGCAGCAGAAAATGAAATAAGACAGATGAAAGAAATGTCAATAAATACGGGACTGGAAATGAGGTCTTGTTTTGAGAGAAATCCAGATAAGAGAGTGTCCAGACTGAGAGATTCCCCTTTGTTATTGCTAAATTATTGATAACTGAAATTTGTTCTAAAGACAAAAGATGCAAAACAGATACAATGATAATGAAGATGGTGATGCTGGTAAAACATATTTAATATCATGATTCCTGGTATTATATAGAGTTATCCCAACATGTGAAAAATATAGAATATTCTTGCTCTCTGTACCTATTACCTCTTGTTATTAGCAGTCAGGCATATTACAGGTATCCATGAGAGGCTTGTTTGACCCCATAAGTTTTGATAACCCAAAATGAAGTGGGATTTCTAAAGTCTTTCATGGAGAATGTTTGCCAAATGGCACAAAGCACTAGTAAATGATAAGAATAGACACGGTGCCTACTGTCATGACTACAGCCCTACATGTGTATAATCTAATATAAGCTAAATACTGTAGAAATGTATGACTTGTCACGACTGTAGCACGGAAAGGCATGCATGAAGTCATCATTCATGTGAACTAAATACAAGTATGACGGCTGAATCACGGTTTGGATCTTTGAATCATCTTCATGGCACAATACACTTACATTTAAAACAATTAGTAAAATTGAAACTTACAACAATTCGATTAAATACATTCTCAATCATGTCAAACGTGCATAAAAAAATATCTTTCCTTACATTAAATCTTTAAGAAGGTTATAAAAAAACAATATCAAAATGTGTAAAATGGTAAAAATCGATTCCATTCATAACAATGTGGTGAAATACAGGTTCTCCAGACCAGCTGTATTACTGGGCTCTGACATAGTGTCTCAAATTGTCATCATGGTCAGCTGATGAGTAAGACCAGTCAACATTAACACATGGACAGCAAGAATGGCTGCTAGTCAACTCGATGAGTTGTCAATCCAATACTGGTGTGTAACAATACATAGTAGAATACGGAAACAACAAAGTACCCCGGTACTGAAATATACTAAAAGACTTAGGGGTAACAACAAGGAACATTTTACCCTGAGCAAAGATAAAACAGACTGACACTTCACACATATGAGACAGTTTTGACTACTGAAATGGTCCATCCTAGCTTCCAAGTCAACAGGTTGAGATGTGTACAATCTCACGTTGCCTGCACAGCTGATATGTTAGTGGTGATGTTCTGCATTACCTGATGTAGTCGTACGACCTGGCTCTGTCCACACTCTTGCCACTTGTAAGTGGACGAGGTCCAGCTACGCCACCCCTTGGCCTCTGACTATGGGTTGAATCAGTGTTGAGTCTGCTGTTAACTGGAACTTTGGATCTCTGACTCTCGGTTGACTCATCTAAGGGGCTGTTGTAAGCATCAATCAGAGCCAGTGAGTGGAGACTTGAGGACAGTTTGGGCGTGCTGGAGTACGCTATGTCCGTGTTTAGCTCTGAAGGCTTCCTAACCTGTCCGCCGGGCACCCCAATAGGGGAGAATGCTGGTGTGTTGTGGAGAGGTTTGAAAGGTTGTCTTTCAGGTCCCTTTGACATTCTCCTGTCACCTTTAACCTGTGTCTGAAGGTCAAAGTTCTCATCCTGAAGGTCAAGGTCAGACTGACCTAACTCCTGACTGAGATTCAGGTTATGAGGCACATTATTACTGTTGTTTATGGCTTGCCGGTAAGAATCAGCAAGACTTGGACACACATCTGATAAGAGCGAGCTTGTCTGGGTGTGACGAACTGGTTGAGGTTTGAGAACATTTAAATAGCTGTCACCATTCCCCTGCTGCGGAGATATATGATGAACCAGGTTGGAGCTGTTGAGACTAGACTGACTGTGTCCAAAGGACCTGTCTTTGTAACCACAGTTTTCCTTGTGATCTTGACGTTTCTTGTATCTACCATTAAGAGATTTTTCGGAGTCACTCCGCTTACCATGTAAAGATTCGGTGTCTCGTGATTTCTTTCGTTCCGCCTGATCTTTGGATCGGTTTTTGATCGGCATGGGTGAACCTCTGACAGGGGCTCCACCTGCTTCACTGCCTCTGATGCTGGACATCTTAGACGAATGTCTGTATGTCCCAAAGGGAGACGACTCTTTCACATTATTCTGTGAATCGAGGTAGCTTCTCTGGAATGGCTGGTAGGAGAAGACACCAGAATCATACTGACCAGATGATGGCCTGCTGTGTAAATCACCTGACTCATCCACGAGCAGCGATGTCCTTGACCTTTGTTGTGACCTTGGCAATGTTGCATTAATGTGACCTTCATCCGACTCATCGGTCTCGTCTTCCACAATTTGTTTGACTGCCTGCCAAGCACGGCTGTTAAAGAGATCCACACTCCGTCCAAACCTAGCTGGTGAGTTTTGGAATTCTTGCACCTTCAGAGGACTGGGCTGATTGGTGATAGAATCATTCAAATCCTTGATATACTCTCGGACCAGCTGTCTCTTGGTCTCTGGCATGTCCTTCACCTTCAGGAGGGCAGTCTTCAGAGGTTCCAGATTCAGGTAGTCTAGCCTCCATGGGGTGTCCGGGACGAGGCTGCGGCAGGCTCCTGGGATGTCCTCATTGTCCCCATACTGGAGGCGACTGGCACCAGGTACCCCCGGGTTGGTGCGACTCTTGTGACGACTGACAGCCGGCACTGACTGAGTCTGGTGAAATGAAGGGGAGTTTCCTGAATAAGGCACAGCGTATATAGGCTCAGGGGAATTCTGGAGCGAGATGTCATGATACTGTAAACTCTTCTTCTCACTTCTGGCAGATGTATTGGTGAAAACCCCAGACTCATCTTCAGTTGAGTTTGATTCTCTTGATTTCATTAAAGGACTGATATGTGATGGCGTGGAGTTATAGTCTGCAACATTGACAGAGGGAGTGTACCGCTCAGCTGCTGTTGTCACTGGGGACCTATCCATCCTTGATGAATCTTGTGATATGTGTTCATATATTGGGCTTGAGTCCCTGGAACCAGAGATATGGTTGTAGTTGTTGACACATTCAGGAGGATCTGTCAGATCTGGTACAGAGGTGTCCAAAAAGCCATGATCAAAAGCATTGTAGTTGGGAGATGCTGTCTGTGGCAGACTCATGTGACCTCTGCTGACCTCCAACTTGCTTCTACTGTTTGACCTGCTCCTCCCAGACCTGCCATACTGCCTGCCTCTGCTGCGGCTGCTGGAGTTTGAATGAACAGTGACGTTGTGCAGGGATTCCCTCTGGCAGTACAAATCAACATTTGACAAATCTCTTTGGCGATATGATTTGTTATTTGATGATTCTCTTTGGCTATATGAAGTTAGATTAGATATCTCTCTCTGGCTGTAGGATTCTAGATTTGACATCTCTCTCTGGCTGTAGGAATCCAGATGTGATGCCTCTCTCTGGCTGTAGGAATCCAGATGTGATGCTTCTCTCTGGCTGTAGGAATCCAGATGTGATGCCTCTCTCTGGCTGTAGGAATCCAGATGTGATGCCTCTCGCTGGCTGTAGGAATCCAGATGTGATGCCTTTCGCTGGCTGTATGATTCAAGATTAGATTCTGCACTCTGGCTGTATAAATCAAGATTTGATGCCTCTCTCTGACTGTATGAAGCCCATTTTGATGAATGTTCATGACTGTACGACTGCTCTAAAAGGTCTGAGGCATTGAGAGTTGACAACGTGTCATCATCTCTCCCGACCAATGGGGCTCTTAGTCTGCCAGCTGTCTCCTCCCACAGTTTTGAGGCATCCAGAGGTGACAGTGACACTGGTCTTACCACTAAAGACTCGCAGCTTTTCTTCATTGGACTATGATATGTGCCTTTAAATCGGTCTTCATGGAAGCCATAGATGTCCTTCTGAGTAAATATCCGATTTCTTGGCACATATCTTGAGCTGACAGTTGAGTTGAAATCCATGGTCTCATCACGACGATCTGCCTGATCATTGTACCTCCTTCCTCTATTATCATTTACCGATGACCTTGACCCTTGAAGCAGCTGTCTCGTACTGTTGGCGGATCTGCTTGATGTGAGCGTCCCATTGTTGTAGCTGCGAGTTGTTTGACCGTCCATCATGTCGAGGGAGCTGTCAGATGAGCTGCTGCGACCAGCTAGTCCCGCCTCCCACACGAGCTGCATGTGTTGCTGGGAGAAGCCCCCTGAGGATCTCATACTGACTCGGCTGAAGTTCAAGGTCGTTTGATCCATATCCCGACTCAGCTCCACGATGTCACTGCCCAGCACAGACATCAGGGTACCAGCAGTCACATCAAACATACCGGGACGAGGTTCCAGCTGAAACAGACAGCACTCTCAACAAACTGTTCCAACTAACCACACGCAGCTATTTCTAAATTACACAAACAAATTAAACTTCACGAGTCGATTTATCTAAATCATACAAGCCAGTCACACTTACCCTTAAACAATACTTGCTATATTACTGAAATAGTGGCAATGAGACATTAAATTTTAACTCACTCACTCTAACAATGCCATAAAGATCATGCACTGATGCTGCAGTTGATGTTAACATGGCTACTGCCTTTTATATCAAGTTTACTCCTTACAGTTGTTGTGTTGGTTGCTGGTTAACACTGAAGTTTCCTGTTGTATATGCTATGAAAAGTGCAATGTCATTGGAAGTCTTGAGCATATTTAAAGCATTGTTTCATAAAAGAAATAGGCCCAAAACAAAGTCAAGGTGAAATGGAGTTGCATTCAAGATTACTGCAGTGAGTATTGAGTGAGTGAGTGAGTGAGTTGGGTTTTAGGCTGCTTTTAGCAATAATCCAGCAATATCATGGCAGGGGGCAGGGGGCTTCACATGTTGAGGCTATGTGGGGAATCCAACCGAGGCTTCCTGTTACAAGCCAGTGCTTTAACCACTAGGCTACCCAACCTTCCCCATGAGTATTGCACTTGCATAGTTCATGCAATGTGTGTGTGACGACATGTACATAGAGAATACTACATGAGGTCTCATTACATACGAATTATACGAAACGAGTGTCCTTCCTATGGTATCAAATAACATAGGAAGGTCACGAGTTTTGTATAATTCGTATGTAATGAGACCGAGCGTGGTATTTTATTTATTACCCACGTCTTACATGCATTAAATTGACAAAATAGCGTATTTTTGTTCATATTTTGGTTTCAAACCGAAACCGGTTTCATAAAGAGGTTGCGGAAGAGTTTTGTACTGTAGTACAATATTTGCATGACATCACACTGTAATGACGTCACTGCCTTGGTAACCTCCGTCAAGATGCATGTCAGTTGTCATCGCCTCGTACAGCCTCATACAGTAAACTGCTCCGTAGCACCCCGTTTCTTGGTTTCCAGTTGCTTCATTCGGCTAACATCACTGGTGGAAACATTGCGCTTATGTTTTTCGACGGATATAATGTCTCAGTTCGACTCACAAGTAAACAGCGACACACGGCAACGTTCGCAATGTTTACATTCCCACAATGCATTTAAGTTGTAGGAAGAATGAATTCGCGTGTTTGTTATGAATGAAAAAATAGTTACGTCAGAATGTGACCTAATTGAGAGGTCATCGGTTATCCAATCAAATCGTTAGAATCTCAGGTCAAGTCGTTACGACACAGGTCAACGCGATACGACACTCGTGTGACGTACGAGATCAGTATGCAACTACCCATACGTTGACCATGTGGGTAATAATAATCTGGACTAATGCTGGTTCCACAGTGCTAGCCAAATGAGAAACAATACTTAAGTTTAATATGGACACAGTATATAGACTTTTGGTTGACTAGTCCTTGCTTTAATCCACAGAAACAACAAATACCAGTGTATAACTTCGTCTGGTATGATGGTGCTTGAGGTCAGAACATAGGCCTTCTGATCTCCAGATCTATAAACAAGCGTATGGCCAAATGAACAAGGTATACCTATGTATAGAATGGAAATACAGTGGAGGCAGCCCTACCTGGTTATTGAGGACAGTGTTGTGTACTGTAGACTTGATGGTGTACAGGTAGATGGGGCCCCCGGGATGCAGGAACCGGTAGTACAAGAAGAGACACAGAATACCTGGAAAGAATATAATACAACCATGTAATGATGACTTCAATACTAGGGCTGCGCAATATAACCGGTTCAGATATGGAAGCGATACGTATTGCGATACACTGATTGAAAAACGGTATTTTGACTTTCATTCAGAAAACTCCTTAACACTCGGAAATCTTTGGATATTTCCTTGTTTCATTTGTGCCAAATATTATTAACATTTCTATTTTATCATGATTAAAAGTTGTTGTTAAAGCTTAATCAAGCATAGTGATTTTGCTGTGTTTTTGCTCTATTAATCAAGCATTAACTCGATTTTAAGTAGTTTTTGTTTAAAAATACTTCATGCAATATATTGCAATACATATCGCAATACATGCTTTCGCATCGCAATATGAAAATTCTCTGCAATACCCACCCCTATTCAATACAATAAAGGGCAGTAAAGAGTTACACTGAGAACACACCCAGATCTATTTTGGGTGCAGGTGTAAAAGCTTTACCTGTAAAGTCAATAAATCAATTTAAAAGGTGAGTGAGTGAGTGAGTGAGTGAGTGAGTGAGTGAGTGAGTGAGTGAGTGAGGGAGTGAGGGAGTGAGGGAGCGAGCGAGCAAGCAAGCAAGGTGGATTTAGCACCACTTATTCAAAATTATTCCAGCTACATCATAAATGATGTGAATGCTGTGAATGCAGGTTTAAGATGTTTAAAACTTTGGTGAATCCCAAGAGCATGGATAAGTGCTGACATAACATAGAAACATAAACAAGGCCAACCAGGGAATCAAACCCACAATCGTACGTTCCTGGTCTGCCTGAGGGATGCAAGGTATGTACAGATAATGAAGACATAAGTGTTAAGTATTCACCAAGCAGGAATCCACCAAACACCACAGATGGTGTTACATAGTCCAGGACAGATGATGTTCCCTTGAAGGTGAACCACACAGCAACCAGTGCGGCGTTCTCCAGGAAGAACACCAGGTAGAACACCAGCATGCGGTAGCGACTGCGACCCTCACGCAGGTTCAGGAAGCAGAAGATGTACATGAAGCCAGCCACCATCTGAAACAGGCCACGTTCACAGACTCCATCTCCGAAATCTGTGCCTTTCACAGAGATCCATATTGTCATGGCTATCCAGTGAATACCTGTAATAAAATATACCTGATTAGAAACTTATTACAACAATCAGATATAAAACAGTAGAGCTCCTAAATTTCTTAGCTGATGGTTTATGCATGAGACCTAAACCTATATTATTTGGCTCACAGATTTATCTCACATGTTTCAATAGATTGAGAGCTGCAGTCAGGCTGCAGGTTTTTCTCAAAATAGGCACTAAGTGACTGTTTCAGATCAGTTCTTCTATTTCTAAAACTCACACTGTCATAAACAATGACAAAATTGGTGCTAAAGACAGATTTCAGCGAATGCAATAGAAGAATGTTGATAAATCATGAAAATGTCTAATGACTTTTGTTTCTTTCAAAACCACAATATCTTACCCGCAGCAAGAAACACCCAAGCTTTGAAAACTGTAGCAAACATAACAAGGGCCATAACTCTTGCAGAGGTCATGAAGGCCTGCCAGAGCCAGTGTACCACTAGGCCACACCAGTTTCTCCTGTAGAGGTCTCTGTAGGCCAGTCGCAGTCCATCACCATAAGCCGTCAGAGCCCATGCCAGCGAGATGAGAGAGCTGCACACTGACATCCCTGCAAGAACAAGCCAGTAATGTGGACAGTCAGGTTTGGCTAACACATCCCTTCCTTCCCTATCTGTCAGGCAGCAACCCGTGAAATTCAGGGTTAGAATTGATCTTCAGCAAACTATGCTTGTCGTAAGAGGCAACTAACAGGATCGGGTGGTCAGGTATGCTGACTTGGTTGACACATGCCATCGTATCCAAATTGCGAAGATCGATGCTCATGATGTTGATCACTGGATTGTCTGGTCTAGATTCAATTATTTACAGACCGCCGCCATATGGATGGAATATTGCTAGGTTCGGCGGCGTTAAACAACAAACAATCTCTCAGGCAGCATCAGACTGAATCATGTATCCACCTACAGTAAAGACATCACCACTTTCAAAAGTATCCATCATATTACTAGTATGATTCATAAATGATGTAAATTGGGTATCCTAATTTTCCTTTGAGTAACCAAATAAATTATACCCACCTCACTCAAACTCAATTGGATAGTTTGCCATTTTCCATTAATTGTGAAAATAGAATAAAGTCTAAATTTAATCTAACGTGTGTGTTATTTATATTTGATCTGTAATATGAGAAAAGATAAAAAAGACTGCAAGTTGCCAAGTTCATGTGCTGAATAGAACCTCTCAATATACCTCAGTTATTCTATCTACCCTCAGTAACCTCAGCGCATGGGTCTGCTTACATCAAATTCTAGTAGGTTTGCTGAATGTTACAGTACTGCTTTTGACATCTTTGTGTGTATGTTAGATCAAATTTATTGAGTAGGTTTTGTACAACTTGAAAGGAATTGAGTTTTCACAATTATGCAGGTATGCATCTTATCTGTACCTCTGAACAGACTTAAAAAATAGAGTCGGCACCAGAATTCTAGGGTTTTCAATCGAACCACAACATTTTTAACAAGGTAGGAAATAACTTTGCTAGTGTATTCGTACAGTGGCACATATAAAATCACTTGCTTAATTTTTCCACTATACCGGTCGCTTTGTTGATTCTTTAAACAAATAACATTATTAACATCGGAAAGTCAACTGGACACCGAAGCGTGATATACAAATTTGCTTGCCCGACAGAAAAAACACACTGGACTCTGACGCCGGGCAATGGGTTATTTCCACCCCTTTTTTTAAGGCCTTATTTAGAACCATCACAGAGACTAAGAGTTTGTCAACAATGTTGTTTTTGATGCTTCCTCCACTGACCTGTGAGTACTGTGACATTGTTGGTGAGGAGGATGACGTAGAGCTGCAGACACAGCTGGGGTGCAGCCTCCATGAAGGACTCCATCAGACGAAGAATACACACATCATTCTGTTCCCGGTAAACACGGTCAATGTCGTTGAAACTACGAGTTGATCTAGCCTTCAGGGCTAAGCGTATCACTCTGAGATACCTGAAATTATTCAAGTTCAGTACCATTGTACCCATGTCGGGAATAAAATCTTGGTCCTTGAGCGAATGGTTCAACAAAGAGTTCAACATGTTGAAGGTACGCTTAATCGCCATGAATAACATGATGTTGCCAAAGCTCCCACGGATGTTGAAAGGTCGCTTAATTTAAAAGGGGAACATGAATAACATGATGATTGCCAACAATCAGTGTACTCAACAATATCAGCATGCTCATAATTGATCTTTTTACTAGTCCGTTTCGCTCAAAAGCGGACCGATGAATTGCAGTCTAACTCAAAAACTAATAAACATAACATACTCAATGAAACACTGATCATAATCAAAACGTCAGACCAACTCTGTGAGGTTTTTGCAGAATTTATGTCCTAAAAATAAAAAAGTTGTTTAACAAACTATCATTAGAATATTGACACAGTTCACTATTTGTTACGAGGGAGGAGTGCAGAGAAAGGGACAGTCAGGTGTGCGAGAAAGGATGGATACGGCACAGCTAGGTAAATGAATCAATGACTTTGTCGGCACTTGTGCACGTGCTCCGCGTACACCTGGCTGTTCCTCTCTTTGCAGTCCTCCCTCGTAACAAATAGTGAACTGTGTCAAAATTTTAATGATAGGTTGTTAAACAACTTTTTTAATTTTAGGACATAAATCCTGCAAACAAATCACAGAGTTGGTCTGATGTATTGATTATGATCAGTGTTTCATTGAGTATTATATGTTTAGTAGATTTCGAGTTAGATTGCAATTCATCGGTCCGCTTTTGAGCCAAACGGACTATATACAAAAATAGTTTTCAAGAAAACTGGACAGTCTGTAACCATGGTGATCAATATCCATCTAGTTTAAGTTTTTTTTTTTGTGGACTTTTGCATAAATGTTGGATAACCCATGTAATGCATTTCCACTGTTGCCTAAGAAATTAGATGACTACAATCCAAAAACACAAATTCTTACACCATAATCATCCCCGATTGTCAAGTAACCATGGGGATTTTACGGTACGTTTTAATCACCCCATGCTGTGTTCACACCTGATCTTGTTGGTTCCATGGTGATTGAATTAATTAGTGTCAAACGTTTCACTTCGTACCGCAGAAAAAAAAAATTAAATACGTTTTAAAACATTATTCACTTCTTTTCTTACTTTTTGAGAGTGTTTGAATAGGTACAAATGAACATAGAATCGATAAATGGTGCTGACTGTGAATTGTATTGTACCATCTCTTAAATTGTCCTCAACTCAATGGTAATTACACGATATATGAACAATAACTGCAAACATAGAACTTGCTAAATGTAAGAGGGCAAGTGAACTTTTACAGGACAAGTACAAAAATGGATCTTCTCGCCTTGCAGTACATGATGGGTTTAAAAAATCCTTTCAGCCCTGCATACACCATAATGCATATTCATACTCATAGTGATATCAGTATTCAAATGTTGTCACTACTCACCTTTGGACAGGAGCAAACAGGAACAGATGAGGAAGACAGGTTGCTACGGAGAGAGACTTATCCGAAATATGCCACTTGAGACTGAAGATTTGAATCAGCAGCGTGGGCACACCCACAAATCCTGCTGTCAAAGATCCCCACACTATGTCACCATTTTCAAAGAACTGAACAGTCACTAGGATATCTGCAAGTTGAAAAATGTTAAATCATCATTCATGCCTTCAGCAGCTGAAAGCTGAACACGCTGAAAATCACACTAGCTGATGCAAAGGGTATGGGTGAACATAAATCAATGGCCAGATAAAGGTCACACCCGGGGGTGTTGAAAAATTACCCTTAGGGAACAGAGATTAGCTGCATTTATTTTCAGTATTTCTCTTGGTTCTCATAAAGCATTATAATTTCATGTTTATACTGACTTTTTTGTTTGTTTGTTTCCATAAGTCGATTGCTTTGGTTGTCTCAAAGAAGCCCAGAGGGATGTGAGCGCATAGTTTCAAGTATTTGAAGATGACATCAATTGTTCATGAGGTCACAAACATTTCAATGTCACATGTTATCAACAACAGACTACTTACTCCTTTTGAGACACATGTATTTCACATTGCTAGCAATACACATTTCATGACTTTGATGAACTGATTAATTCAATAAAATCCATCAAGTGTGCAGTGCTTGGGTTTCGATTAAACAAAGTTTCTATTTCATATGACTATTCTCAAAACTGACTGTGTATATAAGGACAATGGAGTGAGGACTTTATTTCACATTTATTTTTTTTAGCAGGATACAAATCAGCTAATACAACTGATAAAAGTAAATTTGATTCTTGAGTACAAAACAATTTCACTTTGCCACACCCCCTATTGATTGAGGTACAAAGATATTGGGGATGAGGCAATTCTTTTCAGAAAGACTTCCGCCCATAACCATATATTTTTGTAAATCATTCTATGCCCAAGAATATAGGCCTAGGGTTTTTATAAAAAGCCTTAACTTAACCCTCGAAATAATCCTAATAAACAGAAAACAATTCAAGCTGGGGTTATGGGCGGGACTCTTACCTTCTTTTAAAGGTAGGGCAATAAAGAACAAAAAAATTAAACAAGCTCTATTTAGTACACCATATGTTTTGCTTTTACCACATCTATTCTCAACACTGATAATGAAGGATTTCCACAGAACAGTGGCTACATATGTTTGGAGTCAGTCCTTATTTTTTAGATTTATTGATTAGCCCCATTTTTGGTTATCTTTGCCAATGTGATTGCCTATACACTAAAAAATATTTTCTTACTGAACGGGGGGGATTCTAATGTTTATCACGTTTAGTATCACTATAAAATGTCACTTGGAAACATATAGGTAGAATTTCATAATGTTAGTAAGCTAAATGATTATGTTATCACAATAAGTTACACAGCACTTTGAGGATTTCCCATTACGGAATCTGGAAGTATCGGGAGTAGTGCCATAGTACAACGGATTACGTCATGGAAAACTATTTGTGCTGGAAACCTGCCACGTGCACCGGTCAAACACGATCCGTGACCAACTGATTGTTTCAAGAAGCAAATTACAAACAGCTGCAAAGTAGAGGCAATATTGTAGGCCTATAAAACAAAACAAAGGATGGTGACCATGGGGAAGGAATTACCTGTTCCTACATCAAACAGAAATGTAATCAATGAAACGAAGTTAACAAGTATGTCATAGGGTGATATTGTTTTAGCCATCTTCATAAAATTGTAGCGTTTATCCAACAGCAGGTGCGCGAATCATTATCCATTTAAATCTGGCGGTTCGCTTGACGCCATTTTGACAACACGGTCACGTGATAAAGAAAATATTGCGCTTTTCAAAATGTATATTTTTTTATATTTTAGATTTTAATTCCCACAAAACAATGTTTCAGATATATTCAGTGCTATATTAGTTATTAGTGACAATGTTATTTATTTTAACCGGCGAGATGATAGACAGAGCCCAGTCACAAGGGCTAAAGTATCAACCACGAGCTTGGGAACGACATGTAGTAAGAACATGGGTATTCAGAGGTTGATCACAATATAACTAAAACCAGTTTATTGGTTTAGTAAAAGGCATATTTGTCATGTTTGTGCGGAGGGTTTGAGACTACGACAATATATCTTCGGTTTTCTAGTGCTAGCTAAGTGTGTTCTAAACATTGGACCCATATTACGAAAAGAGGAAAATGTCATGTGCCAAGGTAGCTCAGAATGAGATTGACAAGAACCTGAGAAGGGATGAATGAGGTGTCATGTTCAAAACATTATCACCACGACTGTACTGTACACATTCCGTCAGTGAACGAAAGTTAGATATGATAAAGATTATCACATAGTCTACATTCGTGACAAACATCAGATCTACATTCTCTCAGATTAAAATCTGGAATAAGATCTGTACTGCAGTACACATTTGTCGTCACCTGCATTACCCCTGAAACAAAAGAAAAGAAAAACATTGGCATTCAGACAAGCATAGAATGTGCTAAGGGACCGTTCATAATTTATGGCTGGGGGATGCGGGGATGATGATGATATTTATGGAGAAGCATGTACAATGTGAATGAACCCCCATAAGATTTATGTACAAAGTAAGTGACCCCCTGCATGTTATGTACAAAATCAATTACACACACACACACCCATAATTTTTACGCCTAATTTTTGGAATATTTTCATGTACAAAATAGCTGACAAACCCCCTTCCCCCCAAGCACGTGTGTTCAAAATTGATAACCCCTTACCTTCCGAGAACAAAATGGGTGACCCCCCATTAAAATCATCATCACCCCTCCTAGCCATAAATTATGAACGGTCCCTAACTCCTGGTAATTGGCCAAAATGTTATGAACTATTTGTTGAAACTAGGGCTGCAAATTCAGCTTCGTCAAAGTCCCACTGCTTAATGTATCAGGTGAAGTTGAATCTCTGAAGATGCTTGATAAATGTACTTTTTTGTCAGATATTAATAAAATATCTATATTACAGGCGAATCGTTCTGAAAGGCTAAAGTAAGGTGTGTCACAAGGGCGTGTCCACCATGCGACTCCCTCCCCTCCCCACAGTGTCGGAGATTGTCCACCTGTATCAGCTGACCGCTCGTAAACAGCTGGCTCAGAACTTCCTCCTGGATATGAACCTGACGAGGAAGGTGGTGCGGAAAGCTGGCAGTTTGAAGGGAGGATTTGTGTGTGAGGTTGGCCCTGGACCAGGGGGGATAACTCGCTCCATCTTGAATACAGATGCCAAACAAGTTGTGGTTGTAGAGAAGGACAGGAGGTTCATACCAGGGTTACAGGTGAGTGTTGCGATAAGTTGAACAGTCATGGTTTGAAACTATGCACCTTTTGTGATGCGATACACATATTGATTTTTATAGACATGATACACAGAGTGATAGAACTAATCACTTGTCAAAGTGAACATGCCATTGATACATCAAATGAAATAATAGAGGCCCAACCATATTAAGTAGATTTAACTTAAGTATCATGATAGGGCAGGTTGGGGTGGAGTGGGGTAAAACTGCTCAGATATGTTTGACTGAAATCTGCAGCAATTGTGAGTAAAAATTCCCAAATTTGAAGACATTGAATTCACATTTTATGTTGTGTTTCTTCATGTTGATTTTTTAATTATTTTATTTTACTAATAACTGGACAAGTAGAGAAGAGTGAGTCATTGAGTGAGTTTAGTTTTACACCGCACTCAGCAATATTCCAACTATATGGCGGCAGTCTGTAAATAATAGAGTCTGGACCAGACTATCCAGTGATCAAGAGCATGAACATCGATCTGCGCAATTGGGATGACATGTGTCAACCAAGTCAGCAAGCCGGACTCGATTTCGCCTCTTACAACAAGCATGGGTTACTGAAGGCCAATATTCTAACCCGGACCTTCATGGGTCAGTAGAGAAGAGGATTAAAGGATTAAAGCTTAGTTTTACTTCACAGTAACATAATGATTTTTATTTTACTAATAACTGGACCAATAGAGAAGATGTTCAAAGCTTAGTTTTACTTCATTAATTAAGGGCAGATGTAAATTGTAAAAAAACCTATAAGCATAAAAACAAGTGCCAATTTTAACCACAGTAACATCTTAATTATCCAGTTTGGCTGCACATATTTTTGAATCCATGATAATTGTCCGCGTTTTGCAGAGTTATGTCCCTTGGTCATGGTAAAGCAGATGGTTCTGGGGTTTAGTGCCAGATTTACAATGATTGGTTTGTCTGCACCATACCATGCTCATAGGTCTCAAAACGTTAACGTCTAGCATCGTTATCATAGGCTTTCATCCTTATTAAGCGTATACAAGAAGATATGATATACCAGTGATAATACTCTTCTGAAAGATCTACTTCATAATGTATAAAATTAATTTTTTTAAACTTTTTTTTTCAAAATCTTGGTGGGTTGCTAATAAATGTACTGTATAAATGTTAGCATAACATTGTGTGTCCTTTAAACATGTTTCTTATTTCATTTGATAGATGTTAGCGGATGCCTGTGAAGATCGAATGAAGATAGTTCATGGAGACATCTTGCAAACCAAGATGGAGCAGATAATCCCAGAGACTTATAAAGTTCCATGGGAGGACAATCCACCAAATGTCCACATTATTGGCAACCTGCCATTTAATATCTCCACGCCTCTGATTGTGCAGTGGCTGGAGGACATTGCCAGTCAGTCAGGGGCATGGTCATATGGTCGGACAAAGTTGACCTTGACCTTCCAGAAGGAAGTGGCTCAGAGAATGGTGGCGCCCATTTCTTCTGACATGAGATGCCGTCTGTCAGTCATGTGTCAGTATTTGTGTGATGTCAGCATCAAGTTTGAAATACCAGGTCAGTAAATAGAGAAAATGCAATAATATATGAACAGTTCTGTTGGAAAAGATTTAAATTCAAAGTCTGGGGAGCTAGGGGGTCAGCAATTTTGTACACATGTACTAGGGGCGGTCAGCAATTTTGTACATAAAAATATGTTTAAAATTATGCTTAGAAATTATGGGAAGGGGAGGGGGGGTCATTGAGTTTGTACATGACATGCAAGGGGGGTCACTTATTTTGTACATAAATTTTAGTGCGGGTCATTCACATTGTACATGCTTCTCCATAAAAATCATCACCAACGCCCCTAGACATAAATTATGAACGGTCCCTAAGTGTCATTTTTGAAAATGAGTAATGTTTTAAATTTCTTATATGAACACTTATGTTCACTAGCTGACAGCTAGTTTTCTTACTGCTTACATATATTTGACTTCTGGCATGGACAAGTATATCAGAATGACAAAAGAGTGAAAAAATCCCTATATCGTGATGCCATGTCCCAAGATGTTTTGGTGTGGAATGTCTTTCAGCTAGATGAAAATATTTCAGAAACAAACAGTAAAATCTGCTACAAATTATGCCAAGTAACATTTTCAAGTGAGGAGGCTCAAACTGTTTAGAGATTTGGCTGAGATAGAAATAGCAGCATGCCCACTCACTCCAATGTGAATGATGATGTATAGCATCTGGGCACATTCTTGACTTGACATGCCTCTTGGCATATCTGGTGGTGGTGGAATTGGGTTTAACGTCGTGCTTGAGAATATTTCGCTCATATGACGACGTACATGCGTGTGTATGTGTATGTGCAGCTGCTTGTACTAGCCCAGACTTAAACTGGTTTGATAGTGCTAGCCCACTGAGATACCATGCCGCAGTGAAGCATGAATACCCCACTCAGACATATTATACTGACTCCGACCCGACCAGTCCTTGTTGTACCCATTAATGCCGAACGCCAGGCAGGGACCAACAAGTACCATATTTTAACGTCTTTTGGTATGACGCAGTCGGGGATCGAACCCGCGACCTTCCGCTCTCCGGGCGGACGCTCTGACCACTACACCACGGAGGCGGTCTGGCATATCTGGAACCATAGGATCCCAGTTGTCTAAGGTGCCCAGTAAACTTTGAGAGTGACAGAAATCTGTGATTATGGGTTTGAATCCCTTCTTTGTCCTAATTATGTTTCTAGGTTTGTCTGCTCCATACGTATGCACAGAGGTTTTGCAAGTGGTAAATATTGGAGGCCTGCGTTACATCAGGCTTTCTTTCAACATTAAGCTGACATGCCAGGAAATCACTGAAAATCTTATGAACTGGCTTAAAACCAAACTCACTCACTCACTCAACTTTAAATTGATTTATTGGCTTTACAGGTAAAGCTTTTACACCTGCACCCAAGGTGGATGTGGGCGTGGTGCATTTTGTGCCGCTTGTGAAGCCCCGAATCAATCTGCCGTTCAAGATGGTGGAGAAAGTGTGTCGACACGTGTTCCACTACAGGCAGAAGATGATCAAACATTCAGTCGCGTAAGTGAGACCTGAGATCTGATTTTCCTGCAATGAAGATTTCATTTTCCAAATATTAGCCCAGTAATAGATGTGTTGGAATGTAAAAAAGTGTGTAAAAAAATGTCACAAAATGTTCAGTGAGACTTAAACAATATCAATGAAAACCCATTGTATCCTATAATATGATTTCAAGGTATTAACTGGTTTAACACACCCTGACCAAAGATTATTTACTCAATAAGGTGAGCTACTGAACACATAGTTCGAACCCCCTTCCCCCTTTTGAAAATGACTTAAGGTCACATTGAATTATTTGTTTTTTGCGTTGGCAGAGCCGGGGTGTGTGTGTGTGTGTGTGTTCTGAACAACAACACCACCCCACCCCACCCCCCAAAAAATAAAAAAATAATAATAATAATTAATACAAAATAAAATATATATATTTTCTTTTTTAAATTCCTGGATCCGCCCATGCAGTCCATGTGGTTATGGAAAGTGTTCAACTTTGATTTATCAAATCTTTGTCAAAACGTAAAACTAACCTCAATCGCTCATTCACAAAGATACACTGATAAAGCTCATGTTTTCAACCTTTCACCCAAAACAGCAATCTGAAGTAATTAGGAAATTGCACAATGAAACCAGAAAACAGTTGATGGTTCTGCTCTGATTATCTCCCTTTCCGAAGGGGTTATCTCCCTTTCTGAATTAAACCTATCCCTGTCGCCTCTGTGTTCCAGAACCTTGTTTCCTGTGGACATGCCGGAGCTGACTGCCGAGATGTTTGAGAGGAGTGACCTTGACCCCTCTTCTCGTCCACCAGAACTCAAGATGCAGGATATAAACAAACTGTGCAATGCCTACAATGAAATTTGCCACCAGCATCCTTTCATATTTGACTTTGACTATAGATCAAAGAAACATGCAAAGTTATGGCGAAGAGGACGCAATACTTTGACTGAAAAGTTGGAAGAAAGAATTTCAGTTGATTTACCTGACAGTTCTAATTATACTGAGGAGATACCTGCGAGGTAGCAGGTGTCAGTGGAGGAGAAGGGAGAGGAGGAGAAGGGAGGGGAGTAGCAGGGAGGAAAACAGAGATGTGAAGCTGAGAAACTGGAGATTGACGTGAAATAGCAAAGGATGGGAGAGGAGAGGCCAAGAAGGTGCATTAGTAGATCAAGGATATTAAATACAGCTATTTTATGTTATTGTTCTTATGGCGGGTCATGTCAGGCACATCTATAAGCCTAATATCATGAAATAAAGTGTTGCCTTTTTTGTACAAAGTTGAAAAACACTCTTTTAAATATGTTTTGAGTTGTGGGTTGTCTTAGATTGCGTTATTAAGTTAATGTACAGGTAATATGCAACTAATGCAATACAATTTGTAACCAATGGTGTACTGGATGATGGGTTAGTGAGATACATATTCCACAGGGTCTTGATGCCAGATATAATGGCACAGATAAATGCATTTTCCCTGTTTTCCAGCTTCATGGTGACTGATATCAGAAACCGGTTATAGAGTTTGACACTAGTGACTTGACACACAAAATACTATTGAAATACTGATGAATGTTGAATTCTACTTGTCACAAGATAAAATCAACCCACCCAGCTGCTCCCACACACCTGTGAAGATCCGGGTTAGAATTGGTCTTCAGCAACCCATGCTTGTCTCTACCCGTCAAGATCCAGGCTAGAATTGGTCTTCAGCAACCCATGCTTGTCTCTACCCGTCAAGATCCGGCTAGAATTGGTCTTCAGCAACCCATGCTTGTCTCTACCCATCAAGATCCGTCTCTACCCATCTAGAATTGGTCTTCAGCAACCCATGCTTGTCTCTACCTCTACCCATCAAGATCCGGCTAGATCCGGCTTGTCTCTACCCATCAAGATCCGGGCTAGAATTGGTCTTCAGCAACCCATGCTTGTCTCTACCCATCAAGATCCGGGCTAGAATTGGTCTTCAGCAACCCATGCTTGTCTCTACCCATCAAGATCCGGGCTAGAATTGGTCTTCAGCAACCCATGCTTGTCTCTACCCATCAAGATCCGGGCTAGAATTGGTCTTCAGCAACCCATGCTTGTCTCTACCCATCAAGATCCGGGCTAGAATTGGTCTTCAGCAACCCATGCTTGTCTCTACCCATCAAGATCCGGGCTAGAATTGGTCTTCAGCAACCCATGCTTGTCTCTACCCATCAAGATCCGGGTTAGAATTGGTCTTCAGCAACCCATGCTTGTCTCTACCCATCAAGATCCGGGCTAGAATTGGTCTTCAGCAACCCATGCTTGTCTACCCATCAAGATCCGGGCTAGAATTGGTCTTCAGGCCCATGCTTGTCTCTACCCATCAAGATCCGGGCTAGAATTGGTCTTCAGCAACCCATGCTTGTCTCTACCCATCAAGATCCGGGCTAGAATTGGTCTTCAGCAACCCATGCTTGTCTCTACCCATCAAGATCCGGGCTAGAATTGGTCTTCAGCAACCCATGCTTGTCTCTACCCATCAAGATCCGGGCTAGAATTGGTCTTCAGCAACCCATGCTTGTCTCTACCCATCAAGATCCGGGCTAGAATTGGTCTTCAGCAACCCATGCTTGTCTCTACCCATCAAGATCCGGCTAGAATTGGTCTTCAGCAACCCATGCTTGTCTCTACCCATCAGAATTGGTCTCTTCATCCCATGCTTGTCTCTACCCATCAAGATCCGGGCTAGAATTGGTCTTCAGCAACCCATGCTTGTCTCTACCCGTCAAGATCCAGGCTAGAATTGGTCTTCAGCAACCCATGCTTGTCTCTACCCATCAAGATCCGAGCTAGAATTGGTCTTCAGCAACCCATGCTTGTCTCTACCCATCAAGATCCGGGCTAGAATTGGTCTTCAGCAACCCATGGTTGTCTCTACCCATCAAGATCCATGTTAGAATTGGTCTTCAGCAACCCATGCTTGTCCTATGAGGCGACAGGATCAGATTTTCAGACAGGCTCGCTTACTTGGATGATACATGTCATCATATCCCAAATGCATCAGTGCTCATGATGTTGATCACTGGATTGTCTAGTCCAGACTTGATTATACGATTTGAACACGCACTCACGCCAGTGTATGAAATAAGGCCCGCGATTTCTGCCGGACGGTCTAATTTTACAGCTAGCCAGCCCGATGGACGGGTGAAAAAAAATATTCCGATAACATGACCACTGGCACTGACTGGTCACGTCTCTTCTGGGCTGGTAAGTTTTTGAAGTTACCAGCCCAGATGTCTGGCTGGGTTTTTGGCTTATTTCATACACTGCTCACGCACTAAATCATGTTGTTTCAGAACCACACATAAAATATTAGATCAATCAACCTGTCACAGTTATCCCCCTTTACTTAGTATCATTCGGTCTATCGGTGCACATGTTATTGATCTCTGTATCCTGCAAATATTCCTCTCCGCTTACACTATATGTGTTAATTTGTATACTTTCGCGCGTGGGATACATTGGTCAATACAAATATGATTATTTGTCTTGTGAATACTGACTGACTGAGTTTGGTTTTACGCCGCTTTTAGCAATATTCCAGCAACATCACGGCGGTCTTGTGAATACGGTTACCATTGGTGGTTTATATAAGTTACAGCTGAATGATCTGTTGTAAAGACGACTTGAGTTAATTGGATGTCAGACTAGGTTATGAGGTCCATTGCGCGTCGTACCTCGAAAACAGGAGACGTTACTCATTACGTCAACCACTGGTTTGCCTATCTCGGATCCGACCTTTCACATGCCGTCCGGATAGAGCTTGAAAACTGCTGACTGCGGCGTCATTAAAAAATATTTTCACGAATTCTCCAATTTATTAACTTATTTGCTGATTCATCACTCTCGTTTCAAAATGCGTCATTGAAGAAACATTTGACTCTTGTGAATGTGTCTCGAACCTTGTTTAGCATCTAAGCCGTGTCATTCGGTGGAAAAGGTAATCACCATTTCCCTGGGGTCGGGATTCAATTGCTTTAAGTGAAGTACATGTATATGTTGTTCTGAACAGTAATTCTTCAGACATGAATTATAGATGGCTTCTCGGATCTCGCTACAAATGAGGAGCAATGCTTATTTATCTGCTGTCTTTGGTAATCGGGGTGTGAGCTGCGACATGAAACTTTCAATAAACTAATTGACTTAATGATTATAATTCGTTAGATACCAGGAGGAACAATGGGCGCGTATACCCCTTGTCGCACCCTGTTTTAATTATTCATGTTATCACACGCGTGGTCATTGTTTATCTTGCCCAGTTTGTGTATCTTAACGAGCCCTGCCCGCTGTCACCTTTTTACTGTATTAATGTTCTTTGTTCTACTCGCAATTAACTCGGCCACCCGTAGCTTAAAACAAGAGACACATAAATACATACGTGTAGGTTAACAAGCGGGGTCAATCCACAAATAATCGAGTTTAACGTGTGTTTAATTAGGATTACATTTTCTCCATAAAGTACAGATTCTTGTACTTTTGGGGTTGAATCCCGCCCGGGTTTTGAACCCACGCTCTCAGTGTGAGGCACCTAATCGCCAGCACACAGGGTGAGATCTAACCCACTCGGCCACCGGGGTTTCCTTATAGGAGTGAAAGTCTGACAACTGATAGTCTTGATTTACTTTGCGTATATGTCGGACAAATGTAAAGTGTTACGGCTCACATGACCGAAGCTATAAATAATAATAATAATAATAATGATATGGACATTTGTAGAGCGCAGTAGTAACTCCACACCTCAAGGGCATGCTCTTTGCGCAACAGTAAATATGTACACTATATACAGGAAGAAGTGTTATAAGATTTAGTTGTGGTTGAACAAGAATGTTTTGAGTCTTGATTTAAAGATGGAGATGGAAGGAGATGACTTGACATGGAGAGGTAGTGAGTACCAGAGGGAACGCTGAAAGATCTGCCGCCAAAGGTTTGCAACTTGTATTTTGGGACACTGAGAAGACCTTTGTCTTGAGATCTGAGAGACCGCGCTGGAGCGTAGGGTGTTATAAGATCTTGCATGTAGGAGGGCGATGAACAGTTTAGTGCTGAATATACAAGAGACAGCGTTTTGAATTTTATTCTTTCGCGGGTGGGAAGCCAATGGAGTGACTTTAGTATGGGAGATATGTGACATCTGAATTTGGTTCTAGTGACAAGTCTTGCTGCGCTGTTCTGGATCTTCTGAAGTCTGTCTAGTTGTTCAGAAGTGATGACTGCACAAAGACTATTGCAATAGTCCAGCCGGGATAAAATGAGGGATCTAGCCAGAGTGGCAGCAGCATCAGTTGTTAAGAGATAGCGGATGGCTCAAATGTTCCTGAGATGGAAGTGGCAGGAACGACACACATGAGTGACGTGTTGCTCCATAAATACACAACTCCTCTAGGGCGGTGGGGTAGCCTAGTGATTAAAGCGGTAGCTCGTCACGCCGAAGATCCGGGTTCGATTCCCCATATGGGAACAATGTGTGAAACCCATTTCTGGCGTCCCCCGTCGTGATAGTGCTGGAATATTGCTCAAAGCGGCGTAAAACCAAACTCACTCACACACTCATTCAGAAGGTGTACTTGTTGTTACCCTGTCTGGCTCAATGCATTATGGGAAAAGACATGATCTGATCGACTCGGAGTCGATATGATGTGTCTGGAAAAAGATATCAATCTTAAACTGTTACAGGGCATCTATGTAGGATAGCGTGACAGGAGTGGCACAAGGTCCAACTAATACAGGCGGCATTACAAGTAATATAAACTGCAGTGATCTTGAACGCGGCGTTTAATCCCATTTCCCAACACGTCACCCCCTATCTTAACGCTGATCGCTGAAGAAGACCCGTTTCGATCCATGTTTTTAGTGTAGCATAAACAGTAGAGACAATCAGAACGTTTACAACTGGCAATGTAAACTGATGTGCAAAAGAAAGTACACAGGTTGTGTTTCTTCCAATAAGATAAAAATAACAAAACCTTTTGATGAAATGGAAAATGTATGTTGAAGCACACTGCAATACACGTGTTTTATCAGCAAAATGACATTGTAACAATAAACAGCGATGTAGTGATGACCACTGCAGACGGTTCCTACGATGCTGGAAGGTCAAGGCCATTCCACGCAGCGGTCGGTAGGCCCATACATGCCAGCAGGACGAAGTCGTCTTGTCACTGTGAATCGGCTTACGCGATGACCCAATGATGTGGCTGCTGATGACGTCACCGTCAACATCCAGTTGCGTAGGTGAATAACCCGCAGATAGCGATCCTCTTGG